AGCATCTATTGTTTATATCCAAGTTGTTACGGTATTCCCGGGCTTGCTTTTCCTGTCATTTGTTTCATGATAAAAGTTTTCTGCTTACAAGGAAAATATTGCATCAAGAATCTTAAAGATGAAGTTGAAGTCATTCCTGTGAAATAATCATGCCATCATGGTGTGATTGACCGTTACGGAATATCTTACTCCCATATGACCCCCGATTTGTTCCGTGTGTCGTAACCACATTATCGCTATCTGTTTTTTTTTTTTTTTTTTTTTCTATCGCGACATTTTTGAATGTGACTAATAACCGTAATTTGTTTGCAATGATATACACGACGGATGCAAATATCATAGCAGGAACTGTTGGACTTTCCGGAGTACCTGTGTTACCTTTGGTCTTTAGAAAAAATTAAATCACAAAAATACTGAACTCCGAAGAAAATTCAAAAAGGAAAGTCCCTTATCAAATGGCAAAATCAAAAGCTCAAACACATCAAACGAATGGATAACAACTGTCATATTCCTGACTTGGTACAGGCATTTTCTTATGTTGAAAATGGTGGATTGAACCTGGTTTTATAGCTAGCTAAACCTCTCACTTGTATGACAGTTGCATCAAATTCCATTATATTGACAACGATGCGTGAACAAAACAAACAGACACAAAAGGTAAAAATGTAAAAAATCGGGGTACAGCAGTCAATATTGTGTTATCATCTTAATCACTATAAAAACAAACAAATGTAACAAAGAAGCACAAAAAGGCATACATCAAATTTAACATCCTCATTTTGCTTTTTTATTATATGATTTTATTTATCTATGTAAAATCCACCCATAAAGGATGGAAGGTTTTAAGTACTGGCGTAGAATCGGGCGTTTGACGTCACACAGGTAGATATGAAATAATTTTGTCGTTCAAAGTATGACGGGATACATAAGTACGGAGTCACGTCAAATGGATATCACAAAAAACAGACTTAACAGTAAAAGTAATATTAATAAAATAAAATAATTTTGTCGTTCAAAGTATGACGGGATACATAAGTACAGAGTCACGTCAAATGGATATCACAAAAAAACAGACTTAAAAGTAAAAGTAATATTAATAAAGACAAATAAAAGAATACTATAACACGTTATTAAGATGATAAACAACATTAGAAGGGTTCGTATTGCTTAATGTTTAGTTTTCAATGTTTTTGTTTTGTTGTTTGTGTTTTCGTCTTTTTTTCTTTTTGCCATAATTGTGTCTGCTTTAAATGATATCATGTTTTTCAGTTGAATATCAACAATTCTGATACCTTAGCGGTTAGCTTTTTTTTAAAGCAAAGCAAAGTGTTGGGGCACATGCAATCACTGTATAGGCGACGACTAGTTTTATTAATTTAGCCAATTAAGTTATGTTTTATATTCAATACTATGAAAGAAACCCAGCTAAAGAATTAGTTAAAAAAAAGACTGTTCAGACAAGTTCGTTCAACAGTCTGTTTTCGACAAATTTCCAAGAGGAGAACTTCATTATATATTTTAGCAACCTTAGGTGAATCCACCAGTATGTCAACTTCCTGTAAGGACGATGGGAGGTTCACATGTACCAGATACTCTTGTAGTGGTGTATTGAAAAAATTCTGTCCTTTTACTTGCAATGTTTGTGGTAAGAAAGTTCATATGCCAATTGAGAGAATACTTTTGGGCATAACAGAACGTCAATATAAATAGTATAGAATTATGAATCAATCTAGCTCCTGAAGGGGAGTCAAAACATGTCCATAATGTCTTGTACATTTTCTGACTTTTAGATATACTGTAGAACATGATGAGATCTTTAAATATAGTATACTGTGCTTCTTTTTTTTAAAAATGAACCTCAAAATTTAGAAATTTTGTAAACACCGGGTAATATCCTGTCATCTTTAAGGCTATCTGAATCTGGTATTTGTCGGAATGAAATATATCCAAATTTGGTTTTCTTATGTATTCAACAGCTTACATTTAAAATACTTAGGTAAGCAAATTAAATATCAACATATCTTTTCACATCAAATGAATTTTCGTACTGCATACAAAATTATGTTACAATTGCCGACATTAATTCAGCAATTTTACATAGTTTTTGTGTTGTAATTTAGTGATATTTTCGCATAAGTTGTCTTTTGTGATGCATTTTGAAACTTAAACATAAAAGTGTGTGTTAACGTGCTACTTTTAGAGAAGAGCCGACAAATGATTCTTGAAAATGTGTTTCCCCAGCTGTCGCCCGATGTTATGCGCGAAAACAATCTGCCAAAATACGAATCCATTTCGAGAATATCAATGATTATGACAGAGAGAAAATAATATCTTCTGTTTAAGCTTGAAAAGAAAATCACAAATCTAGCTCAATTAGATGAATTATTTACATAACTTTATATTTTTTCATAATTGTGTTTCTATGATTAGACCCCACTATCACGACTATATCATTATCAAACTGATAACAACGGCCATAGGATTTCTACTCTCTCTACACTGTTGTTTGTTTTCTCCCATCACCACCTTCTAAACATGATACATTTGCTTAATTAAACCGAATATAGATGAAGGCAAACACCCGAAATACAATTAAAGGTTGGAAAGACATATGCGTTTTAGCAAATACAACGGCAGAGAGAATAAAAAAGAAATATTCATGTGCATATATCCATTCCGTTTGTTAAATATGAACAATATTCGGTTGATAAATAAAAATACAGGAACATTACCCATGTTTTCCAGCAATAAAATCAAGGATTCTTGTATAAGGTGTAGTTGTTTTTTTAATATTATTTGTCACTAAAAGCTAAAACTGTGAAGGTGTAAACGTTGAAGCAAACATAAGAAAATTTATCTTGTAAATTTAGAAATAAAATCAATTATACGAATTCAAAATTAAAATGAATATTAATACATTTGTTTTAACTTTTTTCGGATTGAAAAATCTCTATGTTAAGTCTGTAACTGTTTGAAATTAAGTGGATATAAGAAACCTAAAAAACAAACCAATACTCATCTTTAATTTGGTATTTGAATGTACCAAAATCAATCAAATTCACATGCACTTGCATAAGGTCGATTTCTATTCGACGCAGCTCATTTCTTAAATATTCTACTTTAAATGAAATGGAATGGCAGTAAATTAAAATTTCCTCACTTATTGAAGTGATATCATTTTCCGCTGTTTTGCCGTCTAAATATTCATGCTTGATGTTTATGCTAATGAGTAGATGTAATTATATCACAGCAGATGTTTTTTTCAGGTAGTGGGCATTCCACTGTCGATGCTATTACTAAAAGCGGTTAGTAAAATATTATCATGACTAATTTTAAAATTGAATATTAATATTAGTATTAAGGTCACATAAATAACATTGATTTCAATACTTTTTCTTTTTTTTATGGCTAAAACAGAAAACGACAGACAAACAACAGTTCACAAAATACAACATAGAAAACTAAAGACTGAGCTAACTGAACCCCATCAAAAACTGGGGATGATGTCATGTGTTTGGAAGGGTAAGCAGATCCTACTCCACATGTGGCACACATCATGTTGCTCATGTAAGTACAAACTCGGTGATAAGTCTTATTTGGTAGGTCACATTCGGGGAAGTGAAATCATGATAGGAAATACAAGCCCCGAAATTTGTATCAACCAAGAGATATATTCTCCGTATGCAGGCGCTGTTGAAATGTTGCTACATAGAAATGGAAAGTTCACAATTGGGAAACTGAAATCATCTTTTTTGTCGTGAAGTGTTGTTTTCAACCGACCCTCTTTGTATATTTCAAGATGTGAGTCAAAATATGAGGCAGACGTAACTGTATCTGTTGTATCCCTTATCTGCAGTTTTTTTTTTTCTTTCTTTCTTCCTAAGAAGTTACTGTTTGAAGTAAGCCTGATATGAATAAAGGAACAAGTCGGCAAGGTGAGGAGCACAGTTGGTGACCATGGGAATGCCAACTGTTTATTGAAAAACACGCCCTCCAAACGTAACAAATATGTTGTCAATTAAGAAATCAAGCATCTTTATACTGCCAGTTTCAGAGAATTTTGCGTTTTAATCAGACAGTCAAAGTGATGAAGTTACTTGCTTTAAAGATAAATGTATTTCAATATCAATCCAAGCTGCATTGGACAAATAAACTATTAAACATCCTTGTGGAATCCTTCCCTTAATTGATCACGTGATTACTAGAAAGTTAAAATTTTGAGTACTACACATATACAAAATTCATAACAACCATCGATAAACGTCAAAATCTCTAAGCATACTTCTCAAAAACCGAATGCGAACATTGAATATAATGAATTCAAATGTACGACATTCTTTAACCGGTTATATTACGGTAAAATAAAGCATTCCTGTATAAAATAAAGGTTTCCTACTCGTTTCGTTGGTTGATAACGTTTGATTTTGTCAGTTTTTTTGGGCTTCCTTTTTTTGAATTTACCTTGAAGTTCCGTATTTTTGTTATTCTTTTATTTCCATACATAAAGATAACTATTCTTTGATATATTCAGAGTTGTTTAGTGCTGCTATTTTATTTATTGTAAACAGAAAGATATTTTACCAAAACAAAAAGGCATAGATTTCAAAGAAAATATTGTGTTAAGGATTATTACGCTGAAATATAAATATGTATTTTGCGATCAACTTATCGAACATGTGCATATCTTAATCTAGAAAATGTTTTAAACATGCACGCATACATCAACCATATGAATATTTTCCATATGTCAAGATGTAAAAATTGAAGTCTTGCTATTAATTATTGTACCGTTCAAATTTCGGAAAAAAATAAAAGAGTTTCTGTCGTTGAAAAAAAAAGTTTCATTTCGTTTGAATTTTATAATTTTCAAAACCATTTTATTCAGCCAAACATTATGATTTTAGTCTAATTTTGTTATTCTACAAATTAAACTATTTCTGTGATACAATCTAAATAATTAGTTCACGTGGAAATGTTTTTACAATTTTCTGTTAGTCTCTACAGTATCAGAACATACGTGTAACAAATTGGGGTTACTGATGGATTTAGCATTTGGATTGAACATTTATAATATAAATGCAAGAAAATGTGAGGGTAAATCTGCAGATGCCATATTGTTGAAACATTGTTCCGCGCCAATCCCTGCTGGATGGACAAAAGGAGTTCAGGTAAGAAGATAATCTGACATATAAAATGAAAGATGCGAAACGGGCAATCAAAATGTCGAATTATTACAGACGAATCATGATCGTATGAAATAAGACGAAAAATTATAATGCATGTAGTTCAGTATTTAAAGATTGAACAATACGATCCCGACAATAGGTTTTTCTCAAACACAATTGCTACTAAAAGAGGAGGACCCACTTACCCTTCCATATTACCGGAGTTAATATCCGATTAGTGACTGGTACTTAAAAAGTAAAATAACAAAAATACCGAACTCCAAGGAAAATTCAAATGTGAATCAAAAGCTCAAAAACACATCAAACGGAGGGAAAACAACTGTCATACTCCTCATTTGGTACAGGCATTTCCTTATGAAGAAAATGGTGGATTAAACCTGGTTTAATATCTAGCTTAACCTCTCACTTGTATGACAGTTTCATACAATTTCATCATATTGACAACAAAGTGTGAGCAAAACAATCAGACATAATAGGTCAAAAAAGTCAAAAATTAGGGTACAGCTGTCAACATTGTAATATAATCTTAATCACTATAAAACTAATATTTATTTCAACAAAGAAAAACAATATGGCATATAGACACTCTACAGACAAAGTACAAAGCAAAAATGTAAGACAAGAACACAAAATTGACCATAGCAGAATGAGGGATGTATACGTACCGTGCCACGCCATTAGTATATTACCAAAAATGGACTAAACAGTAAAGGTTAATAAAATGCTCCGCTGGGGCGCAGCTTGATACGACCGCAGAGGTCGAACCCTGAACAGTTGGGGCAAGTATGGACACAACATTCAAGCTTGATACAGCACTGAATTTGGATTGTAATTAAATATTTGACACAGCATAGGTTTCTGACACAGAATGAATGTGGTCTAAGAACTTAAAATTTTTAATTTACCTCTTCAAACCATATCATTATTATTTGCTTTTATATATAAATCAGAAATAACCAATTTAAAATGGAAAATTTTAAAGTAAAAAAGGGGAAAAAAATTCCCCCACAAAATTTTTTGAACCCCCTTATGATTCATCACCCCCCCCCCAAGCTCAATCCCAGCCTTCACTTTGTGGTATGGTACCTTGCAGTACAATTTCAGAGAGATCCATACACTTGAACACAAGTTATTGTCTGGAAACTAGAAAAAGGCTTGTTTTTTTGGCCCCTTTTTGGCCCCAAATTCCTAAACGTTTAGGGCAATTACCCCCAAACTCAAACCAAGCTTTCCCTTTGTGATATGGAACCTTGCAGTATAATTTCATAAAGATCCATACACTTACACACAAGTTATTGTCCTGAAACTAGAAAAATGCTTGTTTTTTGCCCCTTTATGGCCCCTAATTCCTAAAATTTTGAGGGAATTACCCCCAAAATCAATCCCAGCCTTCCCTTTGTGGTATGGAACTTTGCAGTACAATTTCAGAGAGATCCATACACTTGAACACAAGTTATTGTCATGAAACTAGAAAAATGCTTGTTTTTTTTACCCTTTTTGGCCCCTAATTCCTAAAATTTGGAGGCAATTACCCCCAAAATCAATCCCAGCATTTCCTTTGTGATATGGAACCTTGTGGTACAATGTCAGAGAGATCCATACACTTACACACAAGTTATTGTCATGAAACTAGAAAAATGCTTGTTTTTTTACCCTTTTTGGCCCCTAATTCCTAGAATTTGGAGGCAATTACCCTTAAAATCAATCCCAGCATTCCCTTTGTGATATGAAACCATGTGGTACAATGTCAGAGAGATCCATACATTATCACACAAGTTATGTCTGGAAGTTACAAAAATGCTTATTTTTGGCCTCTTTTTGGCCCCTAATTCCTTAACTGTTGGTACCATAACCCCTAAAATCAATCCCCACCTTTCTTTTGTGGTATTGAACCTTATGGTAAAATTTCATAGAGATCCATTCACTTAAACTAAAGTTAGAGTGCGAAAATAAATGTGTCTTCGGACGATGACGACGACGCCGGAAAACGACGCCGGACGACGACGACGACGACGCCAACGTCATACCAATATACGACCGCAAAATTTTTTTGAAGTCGTATAAAAATGTATAAGGACAAATAAATAGAATACTATAACACGTAATTAAGACGATAAACAACGTCGGTACCTAGAATCATCTATACGTCAAGACCATGAGATATTAATTGTGAAGTTGATACGTAATATTTATCAACAAGGTCTTTTTGGTATCTTCCAATGAACTTATTGATCAATCTTTATTTTTTCTGTATGGTTTTGTGAAATGTTATTTGTCTTTTCGTATTTTTATTCTTTTTGGCAATGTATTTTCTGTTTTTCGTCGAGGCGTTAGTTTTCATGGTCTCTAAATGTTCTCCCTTTGTTCTTTCCACAACTAATTTAGATCGAAATTAGGCACTCCGGAAGATATAGCTCTTCTTTCTCAAATGATTACTATTTTCCATGTTGAAGTTGCATATGACTCATCCGGCAATATTATATTTGCATGTAACAAAATAAAGTGCACACAAGTGTTTCTGTAATAGCATTCGTCACGCACGGTTGAGACAGAGACCAACTATCTTATATAAGTTGTGGAAATAAAAGATTTGATCTCAATTGAACCTGTACATCCTTTATAAGTCAACTCTGTCTTACGGAATCATTAAAATAGTTTTAATGGGATGATAAAATTTATAGATATAAAATTAACGTATTTACACTACTGTAACAACAGCCCATGAAAAGGCCGTGAAATGTCTGTGAAATATCACAGGGCCGTGAAAACCCCGTGAAAATACCCCGTGACTTTTGTAAAAAAATTATTTCTAAAGGCCGTGAAAAATATTTGATGTTAGAAAAAGACCGTGAAATTTCAATATCCCGTGAAAAGGCCGTGATAATTTGTCCTTTCATGCTTAATAAAAAATATCATGGCCTTTTCACTGGTTGTTGAAACCAGTGAAAAGGCCGTGATATTTTTTCATGTCAATTTTTTCTTATCCTAATTCAGATTTAAAACATCCCCGGCATGTGATTATTGTAATACGGTGTAATTATTTCCACTCACATTTTTCTAAATATCCTATAAACTTTTCATTATAAATATATGTCTGTTTGAATATTATTATGTGCAATACTACTGTACATGACTGACTTTTAAATGGAACCATTTTCATTGTTATAATTAATGACTTTGTGCCAATAAATATTTTGTATTTAAAGAAAAGTATTTTGCTTCTCGTCTGTACATTATTATAAACAATGTAAACATTAATTTTAATTGGAACCGAAACATGTAAAAATGAGAACTTCCCGGAATATCAGACCGTATCCGGATTCGTGTTTCTTTTAGAGTAATTGTAACATTTCCGCAAGGTTGCATTTGGAAATTTGAAAGACGCCAAAGGCAAAGGTCGATTAATATTTACTTTATAGATGCAAGACGAGTGACAGCAAGTTTGAGGTAAGTTCAGTTATTAATATTTTATTCTTTTATGCGTCATATCACCAAAATGTTGATGACGTTTGTGAGCATGTCCATTGAACTGATTTTCACTGAATTTGCAGAAACCGCGCAAACATGCATGTGATATATTCACTTATATTTGAGTCTGTTGCACTTGATTCCTTTAATCATTTCGGTTAATGTTTTCTAAGACTTACCGGATCCTTTAAATACGATTACGGTTATGTTTTGTTTATGATTAATTTAGGTATTTGGGGGAAAAAAAGGGGGGTCTTTTTTCCCCACACTGGCCAAATAAAAAAAAATGACATTTATTTACAGTACACTACGTAGAAATAGACATAGATAATTGGAAATGATTATAATAGCAATAAGTATCTCTGAAATGGAGTTCACTCTGATAATCAGAGGCGCAACCCCCCTTTGAATGTGTCGGGAGCTATTTAAGTATTTTCTAACTTGGCCGTCGGGACACAGAGTTCAAAAGGGATTAATCAGAGGCGTAGCAGAGAAAGTATTTAATATTTGTACGGCAAAATGTCTTTCTAGAAGGTTTTGTGCCATATCATAAGAATAATTGGTATAGCAATGAGGTGTTTAAAAAATAATTGGTATGGCGAATGTGCCTGCAGTAAAAGTTGCTACGCCCCTGGCCCCCTGTAAAAAAAATAGCTGTGACTCATTACGGCCACTTAGTCTAGACAAGTTTGGCTTTAGCCATACATATTATTACTTCAAAGAAACATTTAAATTTAATAGTCTGTCTTAAAAGTGTCTTTAGTCGTTAAAAAAATCTAAAAATAATAATATAAGTTGACAATACAGAACTTCGTTAATTAATGATGCCATATATATTGGATAGGGGGCAGATTTTCTAGAAAATGGTATGAAAATATGGGAAAACCTATGCATGTTTCCAAGTGGCTGTTCTGTTTCAATAATGTTTTTTAGTATTTTTCATACCATTTTCACCTCCAGTATGAAAATCTGCCCCCTATTCAATATGGGGTCATTAACCGTGAAGTCCTGTATTGCATGAAATAATATTGTAGCTGTTTTAAGTACATGTATGTACATAAATGCCAAAAAATTAATTTGAATATATAAATAGTTTTTTTTATATATACATGTATAATATATGTAATGTTTCTTTATTTATTCTAGGAATGAAGAGCAAAAGGATATACCAGTCTTTATATAAAATACATTGTAGTTCAGGAATCCAGTTGGAAAGAAGAAGTTTTCAGTTAAAAGTATTTCCTGGGAATTAACAGGAACTTCTATAAATGTTTTTCTGGAATAGTTATTCAAAAGGGCAGTGAAGTGAAGGATTACATTAGAATAATATTGCTGAAGTGGTAAAATCAGACCCAAGAGATGTACAAAATTTCTACAATACATGTTACAGCTGACTTTAGCTACTTAATCACATTCACATTTGTGTGCTTTTATGTTTTCTTTACATAATTACTACAGTTCTATTAAAATTAATATTTTTATTCTTTGTCACAGTTATTACTAAAAAGAATACAGCATTTTAATATGGTTTTTCATAGTCTCATTTGCATTGTACTTAAATAACTTGTCTGTAGATGTTTACACTAGGTTTTCAGGCATTTCACTTCACTTGATTGAAACAGAATTTAATTTTTTTGTTAAATTATGGCCTGAAAAATACATTTAACATTTTACAGGAGTTTTCACAATCAGTGAATGGCTGTTTATCACAGTAGTACATGTACATTTCACGGTCTTTTCACAATGGGCACATAATTTATCACGACTTTTTCACGGTGTACATTTTTGTTTTTCACAGGGTTTCTACGGTCTCTTTACCCAAGTTTTCAGTTGGCACCTTTTCACGGCCTTTTCACGACAAATAAAGGCATATACTGGACTATATCTACATTTCACGGTCTTTTCACAAAGGGCACATAATGCATTATCACGACTTTTTCACGGTGTACATTTTTTTTTCACAGGGTTTCTACGGTCTTTTCACCCAAGTTTTCAGGTGGCACCTCTTCACGGCCTTTTCACAAACTTTTCACAGCCTTTTCACGACAGTCATTCCACGGCATTGTCACAGATAAGTTTCACGGCCCACCGTACATTAACCGTGACAAACACTGTAAAAATCACCAGCATTTTTACGGACATTTTTACGGCCAATCTACGGGGCATTGTTCCAGTAGTGTTAAGAAATACCTTTAAAATCACACCAGAGGAAAAGCATAGGTTTTTGGGCAAATGGTACTCTTCGTCATCTTTGACTAAGGGCACTGGAGACTATGTTTACCAGAACACATAGCCCCATGCGATCATTCCAGATGAACGTTATCTCTAGTTTGTACTTTCTTGCAGTTTACTAATCCACAAATTTTCTTTTATAGATTTCAAGCATTTGTGATACAATCACACCTTATTCTCCTATAGCCGAATGGAAAAACAATCATTTGACAGACATAGCTGGTGTTGTAGTTTCCTGTCAAAATGGACGGATTGAGGTACGTTTGTGATACTTACTCCTAGAAGAGATATCCGAAATGTGGCAAAAAAATAACCCCGCCTCGTGTTCAGCTGCCCGTTCAAAATCAAGAACCAGTGGTCGTCTTTTGATATCCTTTCTATTATTGTAATGTTATTCATTTTTTTATTTAACTGCACGCAAAATAGTGATACGTCAGTTGTTAGTTAAACAAACATGAGCAAGATATTTTCAGCAATATCGTTCATGATATCTTAGCGTTAGGGGGATATTTACATGACTTATGGTTCTGATAAAGTCTAAATGTTCGACCTAAAATAGTTATATTTACAAATTATTAATTTATGTTCAGGGCAAATACGACAACAAAAGTATATGAAATAGAGGGGAAAGATACCAAAGCACATTCAAACTCATAAGTCGAAAATAAACTAAAAACACAATGGTATAAACAGAAAAAGACCAAAAGACAAACAACTGTACACAAAACACAAAAAAACGAGGGTGATCTCAGGTGCTCCGGATTGGTAGGTAGATTCTTCTCCACGTGTGGTATCTGTTGGGTTGCTCATATAGGTTAAAACCCGGTGATAAGTCTCATTCGGTAGGTCACTTTTGGGAAATATAGGACTGGATTGTGGTTGCAACTGAAATATATCTGTCGTCATCTATGAAACACATATTCCATAAGCGTCGACCAAATCGTGATGGCGTCTGTAAAATTTACGATGGGATGATTTCAAATTCACCACTTGGAACTCTTGGTTTAATAGCTTCCCTGTGAACAGCAACCTTCAATCAAGGAAATCCATATGAAGGCGCTGCTGGAATGTTGCTACATAGAAATAAAAAGTTCACAACTGGGAAGCTAAAATCATCTCTTTTGTCGTAAAGTTTTATTTTCAACCGACCTTACTTGTCAATTTCTAGATGTAAGTCAAGATATGAGACAAGACTTGACTGTACCTGTTGTATCCTTTATCGGCATTGCTTGTCGAAATGAGCAGTTGGTGTTATAAAATTTGTACCATTAATGTTATTGATGAGGTATAATAAATTAAAGTAATAATGAAAGACCCGCAGCAGCTTAATAACTCAAAATGAAATTCGAAAAAGACGAAGAGTAAATTGAACAGTCCAGGAAAGTTAAGCGATATGAAGTATCTCGGATAGTTTATTTAATGTTCCAATTGGGTCAGAATCTTTGTGCAATGTTTTGAATAGTTTATTCCCTTTCTGTGTCTATATTAACATCATCATGCAGGTCATTTATGTATCTGAAAATGAAATAGACAACTTAATCTGTACCTCATTTTTTTTACACAAAATTATATTTATTCTAGGTATATTTGTTTTTAAATAGAGAGAAACACAAGGAAATTTGAAAATATTTGTTAACGTCCATGATTGTAAAGTAAAACAATATAAATCTTTGAATGTTTATATGGCGTTCATACGAATTAATAAAATTAACAAAAGGCTACGCTTGTCATTTCTTTTAAAGTCGAATAATGCTTTGTAAATGATTTTGAATACTATTTTCTCATTTCATTTATTGGTACTTCTTACAGAATAATCCTGATATTGTATCAACATTAACATTTTTTTTGTTTTAAGATGATATCTCAGTCTTGTGGAAGCCCTGTATCACTACGTAACATAACAAGACCAGCATCAGATAGATTGTTTACTGTTCTATGGTAGTATTTTGTATATTGAATAATAAATGAAATCTAGTAACCATTAAAACCTCATCTCGACCCCTTTCGAAACCCTTGATGTTTACAATTGTTGGTATTATTTGAAGTCATCCACTATTGATTTCTTATAAAACCATCACAATGCACTGGCGTTGTATCAATCTGGTATACCCTTTTAATGTGTGTATTGAAATCAACGTTTTATGTTTATTATTGTTTGTTTGTATATTTGTGCTCATAGTTTTGATAATATATAATTTGAAGAGCAAGTTTACTATCAACAATTAAACCTGTTTTCTTTTACTGGATAAAACTAGGAGCGACTGTAAAAAATGTGAAATTAAAGGTCAATTATACTCAGCCAATGCAACAGATATAACACCTGTACACAGTACAATAACTTGTGTACGACAAGAGAACTGTACATCAAGAAAGATATGTACGATGAAAATGTAAGGGCAACTTCCAAGACTAAAATCCATGACATTCAAGAAAACAACGCTGTTAATGAACAAAAAATATTCTTAGAAATCTGATTCACTGTATATAAAATGAATGCAAATTCATTTAAAAAATGTAATTCTGTCACATTGAACAACAGGAACAATGTCTGTTAACTAAAACAAATGCTCAGTTCCATGTTCTTTCTTGTACCCTAAAATTAACTATTTCTCGTCTGTTCATCATATGGTTATACATTAGCCCAATGAAAAACAGAATGTGTAAGTGGTCAAGCAAAAACTGATGAACTTTGTTTTGACTCTTTGGAGTACATGGAGTAACATATCTAAAAACTTGACAAACCCATACTTATTTGGTTAACGCATGTGAATGTCTAAGTAATAAATGACACATATTCCAAATACATCCCTTTTTTCTTTCCATGACAGCTATTACCACTGGATTTCATGCACTTGCCATGACATATTGGGTGCCACCTGTGCAGCAGACTTCGCTTACATTTCCAGAACATCAAAGTTCTTCTCTGGTTTTTAGTTTGCTCTTTTTTTCAAAATCATTAGTTTTCTGTTAGTGTTTTGTGAACTGCTATTCTTATTTCACTTGTTACACTTACCTGATATAGTAAACAATTTGGATTACTTCCCTTTGACTAGTTGACAACTCGATTAAGCGTTTACTGACCTAGACATTCACCTTGTGAATCAGTTATGCGCGCTTATATCATCAGTCTTTCTTTCCGGCGACATCAAGTTGACACGTTTTTTCACTGCTCAGAAGTTTTTGTCGTCGAAAGTTTATCATAAGATATAGACATTCTTCTTATATGTCAGAAGCAGACAGTGTAGTCTCACAGTGAAGACGATTATTCGTCAGTCAGTCAAACGGTTGTTCAGCATATTCAGGACGCCGGTACAATGGTGGAAAGTTCGAAAAAGAAAACTAAAGGTTAGAAGTCGTCTTAAGTAAAAACAGATGATATTCAGGCTCTTGAGAATAAATGGGAAAGAAGGTTCTTCGGCTTTGAGGCCAACATGGAGAAATTTATGAATTTTTTTCATCACACGAGTATGAACAGTGGTGACCAGGAAACTGTCACTAGTCGTAGTCAGCAGAGACCTAGTACACCAGGCACAAATGTGTAGAACGACTCTTTGGGAGTTCGTAGAACGGAAAACTGATTTAGATGACAATTTTCCTGTTGAGCAGGAGAGTGATTGTCTCGATGCTTTATCACTTAACCCAAATGACAGAGAAGTACATGATATGGGATCTGTGAGTTCTGCTGATGTAAATAAGAATATATCTAAGTCAGATAGGTTTTGTAAATATTTGAACTTTTGTAAACACAAAGTTAGTGAAACTAATGCTTCTGAAAATTTAAAGAGTAATCGATTTATTTTCTTTGTATGAATGAGATGCTAACACAAAAACAGAAAGTGAGTCGGTTGGTATTATATAAGATAAAATTCAGTCTTATCACACTTTAGCGTTCTGAGAATTCAAGTAAACTGACTGCTTACAAGGATAAATACAAAACTGTTTTCCTGTTCATGACAAACATGTCGAACATTTACAGGTACCAACTTTAGATGATATGGTGTCTACTTTGCTTCATAGAAAACATGGAACTAAAGCTTTGTCTTTCAGTGGCAAGTAGAAAAGTTTACATACGCCTTTTGTCAAGGGATAGAAAAACTTGCATATCAGGGACAGGTAGCTTCAAGAATGGGAATAGTGTTCGTATCGTATGTGCGCTAGGTACTTTATTAAAAACTTTATCTCAGGACAATGTAAACATTGATAGGTGTACAAGTAAGGGATATCTTTGCAATGTCTACTAAATATCTGGATCAAGTATCTCGTAGTGGGGCTTTTCATCATGTAATACGTAGAAAAGCTGCAATTGGAGACACTGGTTTAGGAGGAATTAATAAAGATTGAAGTCCTCTACTTTCTGATTTACCATTATTTAGTGCAGGTGTGTTCGGTCAAGGCCTTGAACAGACCTTGAAAGATAGAACAGAGAAAAGTAAACAATTGAAAGATTTGTTGCCTGAATTGTATGTAGTGCACAATAGTAACAAAACGTATAAAATGAACTTTGTAGTCAAGTAGTCAGAGTTCTAATGATAACAAAGTTAAGAGACAGAACGGTGAACCAGCCAGAGAACCACTGAGGGGTTTTGAGATTCCTTAACGAGGTGGTTACAAGAGCAGTACCTTTACATGGTCTGATAACCAGGACAGAACAGCAAACTCTTCTGTTCCTACCAATCAAGGAAATCAAGAGAGATGACTCGAAGGTAAGCCATAGCCATAGTATGTTATTGTTTCCGGAGATACCTACAGGGGGCGTCTAAGCCAATTTTTAACAGATTGGATCAAGATAACAAACGATCAGTGGGTAATAAACTTGATCAAAGAAGGTAATTGTCTGGAACTTCAATCCAAACCTCCAAAAACAGGGGTAAGAAAAACATATGCTCCTGCAAAAACTTTAGAAATTTTGAATATGGAAGTAAAAGAATTAACACAAAAAGGAGTTGAAGAATTTGTTCCTGAGGAGGATATAATGAACGGTTTTTACAACACATTTTTTTCTGGTACCCAAATAAACAGGGGATTTAAGACCAGTAATAAACCTAAAACCCTTAAACAGGTATCTCCTCAAAGCAACATTTCAAAATGGACACCCCGAAAACAGTGATACATTTAGTCAAACAAGGAGATTGGGCAATTCCTCTCGATCTGAAAAAAGAGTCTTATGCATATTTCGATCCAAAAAAAAACACAGAAAGTACCTCAGGTTCTGGGTGAAAGGCAGTCCATGTCTACAGTGCAAAGCTCTACCCTTTGGCCCAACATCAGCACCCAGAGTGTTTACAAATGTAGTGTCTGTAGTAGCAGGATATCTAAGATCAATGAGCATTCGACTTATAGTATACTTGAACGATTGCTTTATTGTGAACCATCTGAAATCACAAATTGCTCAGGGACTTGGACAATTCAAGAAAAACAATTACACACCAACTATCTAGAAATGGAGGCAGTCATACGGTCAGTAAAACATTTTCTACCGTCCATTAGGGGTCAGAATATTCTGATTCAATTGTTGTTCAAAATATAAACAAAAACGGTATGGGTTTTTGTCATTGTTGAAGGTCTTACGGTTGCATATAATTGCTTACATCCAATTTGTTTGAACTTTGGTGTATATTTGTCTCATTGGCAATCATACCACATCTCCTTATTCTTATAAAAAGAAGTAATCTAAATTGTTTACTATATCAGCTGGTAATAAAATAAACTCATCATAGATACCAGGATTGAAATTTTGTATTTGCGCCAGATGCGCGTTTCGTCTACAAAAGACTCATCAGTGACGCTCGAATCTAAAAAAGTTAAAAAGTGTAACCTACGTTCACAAAATTCTAATTGAACAATTTTGTGTGGAACTTTTTTCCATATCGTCATTAAGTTTCCTCTTGCTGCCTTTTTCAAGTTTTATTTGACTTTGGTATCTGATTGACCCAAAGACATCAGTGTAAACATATTTTATTAATTAAATTCAAGTTAATAATATACACAATTTGGAATTAACGTATTTATACAACTGAATAGTTAATAGGATCAGGAAACAAGCTGTTTTTGCTAGATATCTACCATCTAACTTTTTTCTTGTTTGCAAAGATTTTTGTCGAGCCTGCGACTTTTGTCGCAGAAAGCTCGACATAGGGATAGCGATCCGGCGGCGGCGGCGGCGGCTACGGCGGCGGCGGCGGCGGCTACGGCGGCGGCGGCGGCGGCGTTAGCTAACTTCTTAAAAGCTTTATATTTTAGAAGATGGAAGACCTGGATGCTTCATACTTTGTATATGGATGCCTCATGTTACGAAGTTTCCGTCAGTCACATGTCCAATGTCCTTGACCTCATTTTCATGGTTCAGTGACTACTTGAAAAAAAAGTTCAGATTTTTTGTAATGTTAAATTCTCTCTTATTATAAGTAATAGGATAACTATATTTGGTATGTGCGTACCTTGCAAGGTCCTCATGCCCGTCAGACAGTTTTCACTTGACCTCGACCTCATTTCATGGATCAGTGAACAAGGTTAAGTTTTCGTGGTCAAGTCCATATCTCAGATACTATAAGCAATAGGTCTAGTATATTCGGTGTATGGAAGGACTGTAAGGTGTACATGTCCAACTGGCAGGTGTCATCTGACCTTGACCTCATTTTCATGGTTCAGTGGTTATAGTTAAGTTTTTGTGTTTTGGTCTGTTTTTCTTATACTGTATGCAATAGGTCTACTATATTTGGTGTATGGAATGATTGTAAGGTGTACATGTCTAGCTGGCAGGTGTCATCTGACCTTGACCTCATTTTCATGGTTCAGTGGTCAAAGTTAAGTTTTTGAGTTTTGGTCTTTCTTTCTAATACTGCATGCAATAGGTCAGCTATATTTGGTGTATGGAATGATTGTAAGGTGTACATGTCTAGCTGGCAGGTGTCATCTTACCTTGACCTCATTTTCATGGTTCAGTGGTCAAAGTTAAGTTTTTGAGTTTTGGTTTTTTTTTCTAATACTATATGCAATAGTTCAACTATATTTGGTGTATGGAAATATTTTATGATCTATATGTCAGTCACGCAGGTTTTATTTGACCTTGACCTCATTTTCAAGGTTCATTGCTAAGTGTTAAGTTTTTGTGTTTTCGTCTGTTTTTCTTAAACTATAAGCAATAGGTCAACTATATTTGTTGTATGGAAGAATTGTTAGCTGTACATGCCTGCCTAGCATGGTTCATCTGACCTTGACCTCATTTTCATGGTTCATTGGTCAATGTTTAGTTTACTTGGTTAATGTTAAGTTTATGTGACAGTTGTAATAAAGCTTTATATTTAGGACTATCAACATAATATCAATGATTAGTAAAGAAGGCGAGACATTTCAGCGTGTGCACTCTTGTTGTTCTATATGTGATTTTGTTTTCTACACCAAATATGTGTTTAGCCTGCCACAAATACCAAATAATGATGACCAACTTATAATCAATAATAAACTGTTATCACAGAGATATGTCTTGCCTTTTTATAATTTTGATAATGCAAATGTTGAAATTAAAATTGCAATACTTTAACATGTTAGTTATGCAAATATTCAAAGTTGATGAACCATGACTGAAGGTACATTGCTAAACAATCTCCATGGAATGAGATGTGCCAATGCTAATACAACTGTATACCAAATACCATTGACTTTTTATATGTTGTTCCCTTTAAACAAACCTAAACACAAACATTAACTTGTAAACTATGTAAAAGTTTCAAAGTCAATGAACCATGATCAGGGGTGGGGCTATATAATCTCAATGGAAACGATACAGTACACACAGAGAGGATGTAATCTCATACTCCCAACACTGATTCTGGTGTAACACAGTGTCATACTGTGAAACACAGATTTCTCTCCCAAAAAACACCAAGTAATTACTCCCATCTGGGAGGGTTTTATGACCTGTTGATTGCAGGTAAGAGTAATAAAAATCAACAAAGCACGACTGCATGGTCTGACAGTGACATAATTACAGGTCAACTATTCTCTCACTTCTTCCTATTTCAATCATTTCCTATTTAGTTTTATTTCTGAAAGCTATAAAAAAAGGTTAACGAAATGATTTTTAAAATTTTTATACAAAATATATATGTATTTTTAGATTGGAAAATTATTTACATTCTTTCATAATCTCATAATCAAGAATGGCAACTTGATATTTACAATAAGTTGTATTTAGAGTCAGTTTAAACATATAGATATAAGTATATACATGGTTTAAAAAATAATAGTAATGATACAAAAAAAAATAATGAATAAAATAAAATAATGTAGATAAATTACATATATATATTATATTTATATAATCTTCCTTTATTTCTTATCATTTAAATTTAGAAAAAATGATTGAATAAATTCAATTAAAATATATGTCTTTATTTTCTATTAATAATACTCCACTTACAGGTGATGTTTTGTTTGTTTTTGTATGTTTCTTAGGTATGAAAAACCAACACTGTCAGAACAAATGCTGAATATAATTTTAATAAATAAAGTTGTACAGGATTCTTTAATAAAATCAGATTATAATATGTCTCTGATTAAATTTAACAAATCTCACACTTTTCATCATTTTTGTGATTGTCATTTAATGACAGGAAACACAAGAAATGTTTTTTGTAGTCATCTACTAATGGCACACTTCAAAGGTAATCATAGCAATAAAAATCATGTTGTTGGGAGAAACCACACCAAGGTAATAAACAATTAAGGAGTTTTAGGGAGGAATTACTCCAAGTTTCTCCCAATTTCCTCCCAAGATTTGGAGAGAGTTGCTGGAGTTTCTTGGTGTGACACCAAGTTTTTACACTGTGTAGGGAGTATGAGATTACATCCTCTCTGTGTGTACTGTACTTGCAAATGCCAATAAATTTGCATACCAAATATCAATGACTTAACATTAGCAGTTCATCTTAAACTGATCTAATCACAAACTAATACATGTAAACTAAACAAAAGTTTCAAAGTAAATAGACCATGACTGAGGGGGCGGGCCAAATATTCTCCATGGAAATGAGATGTGCAAAGCTTATACAACTGAACACCAATTAACATTGGCCTACCACTAATGGATCCCCTTGAACTGACCTAATCACAAACTAATACATGTAAACTTAGCAAAATTTTCAAAGTCTATAGACCATGACTAAGGGGGCGGAGCCAAATAATCTCCATGGAAATGAGATATGCCCATGCTTATACAACTGCATACCAAATATCATTAACCTACCACTAGTTGTTCCCCATAAATTGACCTAATCACAAACTAATACATGTTAACTATGAAAAGTTTCAAAGTCAATAGACCTTGACTGAGGGGGTGGGACCAAATAATCTCCATGGTAATGAGATGTGCCAATGCTAATACAACTGCATACCAAATATCATTGACCTACCACTAGTGGTTCACCATGAACTAGACCTAATCACAAACTAATACATTGTTGTAGTTGCGCCTCCGCCGTCACCGACGCCAGAAATAGCATACTTATGTCTCGCTTTTTTACTCTGTCAAGGCGAGACAAAAATGGAGACAAAAAAACATGACATTTGGTCTTTATATCATTCTTTTAAAAGGCTTTAGGAAAATCATCACAATGAATTAACATCTAAAAACAAATCCTAATGTTATGACGTTCTTCTTTCAATTTGGAAACAAAGCCATGTTCTAATTTGAATAAAACATGGGCTGCACGTGGCAGTAAAAATTGAAATTGCAACATCAGAGATCAAAATGGACATTTGTGTTGGTGTTGCTGAATAGGAAATTAAATAAAGTCATTCTGAAAGTAAGTTTACAGGTATCTGTTCATTTTTTATCATGAAATTGTTAATTTTCTATATCGTTTTGTCTTCCTCAAACCAAACTGCTGCGTTTCGAACATGTACTATTATGTCAGCTGCAGACGATTTATAAGTTCTTAATTTTCCTATTAGAATCGAAATAATTTTATCATGCCATGCTCTTTGCTCATTTTTACATGGGTAGGCATCATATTTGTCAACATTTTACACATTGCTAACGCTCTGTATAAAGATATTGACAAATATAAAGCCTACCCATGTTAAAATTCAAACATAGAGCATGGCATGACAGATTTATTTCTTAATTATTGGAATTGTTGAGTGTTTGAAAAAACTTGTATAATGTATATCATGCATACTTTTACTTTGTTAATTGAACAAATTTGTATTATTTACACTTTTTTGATACATATCATACAATAAATTGACCTTTCCACGCAAGTTTGATGTCAAAGCATAAAATGAATACTAACACCATACAAAAATTACTCTTAATGAATGTCAATAGGTTAAGTTATTAAGAGTTGCCCACTTTTTCCAAAAAATACTTCAAAAAAGAAAGGCACATCCCTTATGCACTACAAAATACTATAACCACAAGGTGCTTTTGGTACATATATAATCAAAGGACAGTAGGTGTAAGTACTATAATCGTTATACTTATTGTATTGCCTGTTAATTTTGGAAAAAAGTTCCATTCAAACTTCTCAAAGCCTCTTCAAACACAAACAATGCTGTTTTGAGTGTATTACATGAAGTGACTCCTAAGAGTATTTGTCTATCTTGAAACAGAGTTCCAGTTGGTTCTTGTTCTAAAACAATGTACTTTCCCCTTGGTTGTGGGGTATAGTGAAATTTCTATCCTAGTACCTTTATCTTAGAAAAATCTCTAAGACACATAATCCTTTGCTAGGTTGGTGATTCTCAAAATGTTAAAACATTTTCTAGCCAAATGATGAGCTTTCTTCAAATTTGTGATTGCACACCTTTTCTCTATCACATATACATTTTGATATATGCTTGTGTGTTGTTTTTCTTTTGTCCACAACACTTTGCATACTTTGTGTGAGAGGTAGAAAACGAGGCTCATCAATTGATGACAGTGAATATATTGTATTCAGAAACAGAGACACTGTTGGACAATCGTCTGTCTTGGTATCAATCGTTCCAAGGTATGCATATTTCGCAACAATTGGTCGTGAATGAATGTGATGATTAAATCCCAATTGTCTAGAAACATCACTGCCACAAATCATCATCATCTGTACCATCTCCATCGGCCATTTAACCTTCCCAACATACACCTGAAACATGTTAAGGAGAAATATTTTGTTAATTATACATAATTTATTTTCGTCTGTAAAACCTTCTTTGATTGACCCAGAAATGTTTAACCTAAATAATAAAATTACACACCAATGTTTTTTTCTTTCTTATGGTGTTGTTTATAATGTGCAGCATAAGAAGAATAAGTTGTCATGATTGTCATGGTTGTGTTTTATTTGTCTCTTTATAATTTGTAGTCTTTCGCCATGGCATTGTCAGTTTGTCTTCGACTTATGAGTTTGAATGTCCCTTTGGTACACTCTACCTCTTGTTTGCTAGCAGCATATACATGCCAGGTAAAACGATGTCAAAAGAATTCAAATAATTTTTTATATGTTGTTTTTTATATATTCTTAAATCCTCTGAGGATTCCCTATTTTTGGTGAGTACACATGTAACAATTTTCATGGATTGAGGAAAACTTGCATATTTGTAGATATTTGATTTCGTGGTTTTGCACAAGTAGCACAATTTCCTAAAGAACATTTGTGATTTTTTTAAAATTTAAATGCGTCCTTTCCCTGTACCAACAAAATCTACGAAAATTGGTCTCCAACAAATAATAATGAATCCAAAGTATTAGAATAATCACCAGTATCTCAAATTCCATACCTCAAAACATCCTCCAAATGTTTCTTTTATTACAAAGCAGTAGGCTGTTGAACTACATCCACTTAGTGTGCAAAACATTGTCTGGTATAAACTATCTTCAATATTCTGCTTGGAACACTGAAAAAAATTGTTTTCTAATAAATGTTTTTTTTTTAACAACAATGTTGGCTTTTGCATACATTCAAATAGAGATACGAAGATGTGGTATGAGTGCCATTGAGACAACACTCCATCCAAGTCAAAATGTGTAAAAAGTTAACAATTATAGGTCAAAGTGCGGCCTTCAATAGGCAGCCTTGGCTCACACCAAACAACAAGCTATAAAGGGCCCAAAATGACTAGTGTAAAACAATTCAAACAGGAAAACCGACGTTCTATTCTATATAAAAAACGAGAAACCAGAAACACTTATGAACCACATCAACGAACGACAACTACTGATGTCTAAATTCCAAACATATAGTTTTAATTCCTAAATTTATCAAGGAGTTACATATTTTACCATTGTTCCTTATTCAAAATTCAAAAGATTTTCACATAAATCAGTATGCATTTATACACAAAAGTGCACAATCAGACATATCTGCTGTTTTATTGATCATGACTGAATTTATGTTGGGAGTCTTTCGGATAAATATTTTACTACTAGTCATGCTAGTATCGTAGAAACTTAACATTATATATGATCAATGTAAATGAGGTCAAGGTCCTGAAGATGAACATTATCCTACCGACTTTGGAATCATTCTATACATCAAAGATATTTATAAAAATTAGGAGATGTGGTATGATTGCCAATGAGACAACTATCCACCAAAGATCAAATGAAGTGGCACTGGATGTAAGCAATTATAGGCAACTGTACCGCCTTCAACAATGAGAAAAACCCATACCGTATGGTCGGCTATAAAAGGCCCCGATATGAAAAATATGAAACAATTCAATTGAGAAAACTAACGGCCTAATTTATTAACCTATTATCTTGCAGAATCTGTAAAAAAAACCTTACAAAAACTAGATGTGTTGGAATGACAGGGATGGCCCTGCTTGCAAAAAGGGCCATTTTGAGGAGTAACTCATCATTTTAGACTCACATACTAAAAATCAGCTCAATATGTGAACGTGTTTAGAAAAAAAGTCTGTATAACTGTATTTCACAAAATTGTTAAGGTCCAAAGCCTGTAATTTCGGCAAAAAACAGCAGAGCAGAACAAAACGTAAACTTTATCTGTAACTCATCATAGTAGGCATTTGTTCAGTGTATGTTCACTGGTGTTAATATGTCTTTTGATTGAGTTAAGCCATTTCAATTGATATTTTATAGTGTGTCTTTCTATATTGTGATGTTACACTATTGTTTCAGATAAGGGTGAAGGTTTGGTACCATTAAAATGTTTAAACCCGCTGCAATTGTTTGCACCTGTCTGAAGTCAGGAATCTGATGTTCAGTAGTTGTCGTTTGTTGATGTGGTTCATAAGTGTTTCTCGTTTCTCGTTTTTTTTATAGATTAGACCGTTGGTTTTCCCGTTTGAATGGTTTTACACTAGTAGTTTTTTTGGTGGCCCTTTATAGCTTGCTGTTCGGTATGAGCCACGGCTCTGTGTTGAAGACCGTACTTTGACCTATGATGGTTTACTTTTATAAATTTTGACTTGGATGGAGAGTTGTCTCATTGGCACTCATACCACATCTTCTTATATCTATTTACATACTACAATTCAGTTCAATATGTAAAGGCATTTAAAAATAATGTCTGTATAACTGTTCGTTGTGGAATGACAGACAAGGGTGAAACTATATGGCCCAACCACTTTGTGGATGGGGCCATAAGTGGTGGGCCATAAAAATCAATGTTGACCAATGAACCATGAAAATGAGGTCAAAATCAGAAGAAAACTGCCAGATGGACATACACCTTACAATCATTCCATACAACAAATATAGTTGACCTATATATATATATATATATTCAGTCAGGGGACTTACTTAAATGAGTGATTTTCTAAATCACTGATTCAAGTAACATTATGTCCATAAAGGTTGGAAGTAAGAGTTGTCTTTCTTTAATAATCACCTATTTAAGTAGTACAAATTAATCACTAGACTAAGTAATTTAATTTTATTGTAGCTTTAAATATAGAATACTAATGATCCAGGGACTAATTATGTTGCTAAAATTATCAGAACCAACATCTGTGTTGATAGGATGACCTGGTCATGTCAGGTGATGACCTTGTACTAAATCTCGGATAATGACATAAAAAGTATCATACCTCAATTTCCCTCCAAAAAAATCACTTCTTTAAGTATCATTATTTTAATAACCCCTACTAATTTCAACACCCCCGAACAGTGAAATTTTGATCGCGAACAGTAGAATTTTATTACATAATCTATAAGATGAAACCTTGAATTTTACAGGAAAAATACTCCCACTGCTGGGAAAAATCTGTTAAGAAAGTATCAGTTCATTATGTAAAGCCATTTTTATAGCATTTTTTCAACTAAAATAGAATTTGCAGCTAAATGATTGCATCAAAGGCATAACCCTTGCTGCTTAAAAGAAGCAAAAAGTTCATTTTTTCAATTTTACTAATGAAAAGATATTATCTAAACCTATGTGTTTAAAATTTTGGTAAAACAACAAAATCACAATTTGTGACAAAACTTCGAATTCGCTACTTAAATACCGGTAGGTGATTTAAAAATCACTTATTTCAATAAGACCCCTGACTGTATATTGCTTACAGTATCTAGAAAAAAAAGACCAAACTCCAAAAACTTTACATTGACCAAAGAACATGGAATATGATGCCAATATAAAAATAAGAAGATGTGGTATGATTGCCAATGAGACAACTCTTCACAAGAGACCAAATGACACATTAATTAACAACTATAGGTCACCATACGGCCTTCAACAAGGTCAGATAAAAACTTCAAAATGGACATGTATACCTTTATATCATTTCATACAACACATTTAGTTGACCTATTGCTTATAACATCTGATAAATGAACTTGACACGAAAAACTTAACCTTTATCACTGATCCATGAAATAAGGACAAGGTCAGATGTACCCTGACAGATATGTATGCCTTGCAAAGATCCTGGATTCCAGATATTGTTTTCCTATTACTCATAATAAGTGAGAAAATCACATGACAATACAATTTATTTAAGCAGTTGCTGAACCTTGAAACTATATGCAGGGTTGGTAAAAACCCAGGTTTTATGAGTATTGTCCAGCCCTGTGGGAAATACTAGGAAAACCCGGGTTTTACTGGGTTTTACCGGGTAATACTGGGCAATACAGCTGGGTAATATGAAATACTGGCCTGAATTTTAAAGAAGACTCAGTGATTATACATGGATTTTTCTAGGTCTGTTTGATTTCATATTGTAGTTTAAAAAGTATGTTTATCATTGTTTTTACCTGTATAAGAATAAATTTTTGTGGATCCAATCAGTCAACCAAATGTTTCATCCTTGTTTCACTTTCAATGTTGACATTATTTTCCTTTTAATAGTTGAATACATGCTTAACCCATCTCCAGCTAAGGGGTTAAATCGAAGGTTGCATGCATACGGATTCAACGAGGTCAAATTAGCACTTTCAAGTGAATAATTCATCATCGATGTTTCTTTGCTTGCTTTGACAAAATTGAACCAAATTGGCTGCTAAATGCGAATTATTATTTCTCTATTTCAATTTCATTAACATGATTAATGATTGAACAAAAAAAAATCACTTTTTAATCTTTTTTTTTTTTATCTCGTAGCTTATGCCATTTAAATGTTTAAGCTTAAACAAAAATAATGTAATAAAAATTATGTGTCTCGTTAAAATAAATACTATACATGTATCTGGTGGATAGTAACTAAGTTGTCTCTGATTGGCAATCATACCACATTTCTTTATTTTCATATAGCATGTACTTACATTTTTAATTATGTTGAAGCAGATGGTTCTATCGCTAGTTTGATCCAATAAACATATGTCAACCTGTGGTTTATATTCTACATAACAATCAGGAGCTACATATATCTCAAATGGCTGCAAGCTAACACCTTGTTGTGAAATGAAACTGTCTTCAAAATGTCTCAAAAGAAGTAGATTGAAAAGATTTCTAGCTTGATCATGAGAATTTCCATAGTTTAATTCACATCTGGATATCATCTGTCTACTTTTTACCATCCTAAATAAACAAGAGATATTTACAGTTTGTTCTTATGTTGTGCTGTAATACCACTGTCCCAGGTTAGTGGAGGGTTGAGTCTGCACAAAAACATTTAAGCCTGTAATTCAGTGTTTGTCCTTTGTTGCTGTATATCATATTTGTTTTTCGTTCATTATTTTGTACATAAATTAGGCCATTAGTTTCCTTGTCTGAATTGTTTTACATTTATCATTTCGGGGACTTTTATACCTGATTATGCTGTATGGGTTTTACTCATTGTTGAAGGCCATACCGTGACCTATAGTTATTTATTTCTGTGTGATTTGGTCTCTTGTGGAGAGTTCTCTCTGTGATTGGCAATCATACCACATCTTCCTATTTTTAGATTAACCCCACAACATTCTATATAAGCCTGTCCCAAGTCAGGAACATAGAATTTAGTGGTTGTTGTTGGCTGCTGTCTGTTATATTTGTTTTTTGTTTATTGCTTTGTCATTAATCAGGCCATTTTTTTTTTTATTTGAATTGTTTCACATATGTTACTGTTGGGACCTTTTTCATGTTTATATATAGCTGACTACTAGTATACAGTATGGGTTTTGCTCATTGTGGAAGACTGTATGGTGACCTATTTTCATTTAAATCCACTTTATTTGGACTCTATTGTGTAGTTGTCGCATTGGCGATCATACCACATCTCCTTATTTTATATAGAGAGAATGTACTCAGAGCTCCAGATAAGAATTCACAAATTGGGGTTTTTACCCACCATTTTTTATGTATATTTGAGTTATAGTTTTTTAATTGCATTATTAATTCCAATTCACCCCTCAAGCAAATATCAAATTGGGTTTTTCACAACCAAGCTCCTTAATGTTTTGGGTTTTGTTCATCATCAAGATATTGAATTTAGGCTTTTATAATGAAACTATATTAAAACTGAGATGTTCATCCATATTAAATATGTGTTTTTCATTATATACAAATGTATGTGATAGCTGTTTTATTTGGATTATACCGTGACGAGCAATTGTTCGTTTAATTTGTGTCTCGTTTCAACCGTTCTGCCAGTTTTGTATTTTCTCTCAACTAATATAAACTGGTGTCACTAGTGGGACAGTAACTAATTACCTTTCTAGAGCAAATACAATCATCATTCGGTTTATTTGGGGTAGGTGTGGCTATGCTTTTAGATTTTTATGTAGTATTTGTGAACATTTGGTCCTGTAAGACAGTTTTGCCAGTCCTTTCAACTGTTCGCCAGACCTAGTTTTTTTTAAATAATAAATACTGTAAATTCAGAAATTATTGTAATTTCCAAAGAAAGAAACAAGAATGCAAGTTGAATAATTGCAATTTTAGGAAAAACTACATACAGTGTTTCAGATATCAGAATGCAAGTTCTTATTATTGTGATACTCACCGAGTCACATTATTCGCATTAATAAAAACCTCGCAATAATTTCTGAATTAACAGTCGTTCCCAGTTGATTTAAGATAACCTTAAAACCTTGACTAGAACGACCAGGTTAATGATACATCCATGACCATGGGGTGGTTTAATTACTGAGACCACAATTAATTTAAATAATCCTGTACATGTAGCAGCAAACAAATAAATGACAATGTTGTACTTCACTTGTCAATAAGACAACTATCTATAGTTGTCTTATTGGAAAAAGATCAATCATCAGTGCACATGGGGGATCCAGAAATGTTTATAAAGGGTGGGGGGGGGGGGGGGGGGGGGGGCGGGGAGGGGGGGGCTGACTGCCTAAGAGGGGGCCCACTCCAGTTATGCTTCAGTGATGCCCTAAGTAATCAACCAAATTTGTCCCACAAAAGGGGGCCCTGGCCCCCTGCCCCCACTTAAATACGCCTCTGATCATTATATAAAAAAGTTGCAAAACTAATATGTGTGTCTCTCATCAACTAAAATGAAAAAAAATATACTCTTTTAAAATTAAAATAATACTTGAATGTTTTTGTTTAACTTTATTCACATAAATCTGGACATAACTTGTCCCTTATTAGAACTTTTGGTTCCCAATGCTTTTCAACTACACAATTGATTTGGCCTTTCACTGTTCCAACTGATTTAATTCTTGCACCACTCAGACGAAACCTGTCAGTGTTTGTCGTACTAACAATGTTCTTGTTGAGGCGCGTAAACTCTCCCTGGATGCGCCATTGCATGAACCCGTGTGTCCGAGGGATGCTTCCTGATAACGCTAGCTGAGACTTGTTATCATGAAGCTGAAAACATGCTTTTACCGGAAATTTACTTTCGTTTTAATTCATTGCTATGTGTAATGATAAATACCGAGTAATACGAAAATAAGTATGATCAGATGACTTATGCTAATTGAATAAATGCAGAGAAGATTGAAATCTGTTTACATCAGCACCTTTACTTTTTTTAGCAAGGGACCCAGATCACCTATTTGAAGTAACACTCTATTTTTAGAACTAAAGGAGATTTCCAATAATAAATATTACAAAAATAGATTCACACGACGACACTGTTTAGATAAGGGTAAAACACGATAGCGACTAGAAGGGTTGAGAAGAATTATAGTTATCTCGTACCATTGTAGACTCGTACCAATGTCAACTCGTACCACTAAACAAAAACTCGTACCAATGCAAACTCGTACCACTGCTAACTCGTACCACGGTAAATTCATACCATTGTAAACTCGTACCAACTTATTTAAATGCATTCAAATGGTGTTTAATGATGAATATATACTTTAATTTCACTCAATACCTCTTAAGTCTGTAAAATGTATATAATTTGAAATTACAATAACCAATTTGTAGCTAATTTTCCTTGTCTAATTGGATAGAGAAAACCGTGACAGATTGGCTTTGTTGTCTCCCTTGAATAGACTCTTTTTTAAACTTTTACTGACAACTATTTGATTTAATTTTTAATCATTCCAAATCAGTAACATTGAATAGATTTGGGTATTTTTCTATTGTTTCTAAAAGGAATTTTATTTAATGAAAGAATTTATTGATTGTGTTTTAAAGGTTTAAAATTGTTTATGACCAACAGTTAGAAAGTATGAAATTTATTTTTATACAATATTCAGCACATTTCAGCAGAATATGACCATGCTTATATGATTATTCAAGTTGATTAGTTAAAGATAAAAAAAACAAGTTGATTAATTAATAATCAACCAATAATCACACAATCAAAGGAATTTAATATATTTATTAGCATGGTAATTAAGAAATTACATTCGTATTTTTGTCTAAGTTTTCATTAAAATCTGGTAAAAATTTCAAAGATATTTTAATTTTTTGTATAAAGCTTAAAAAAAAATAATCATAAAACATTCGTATTTTTGTCTAAGTTTTCATTAAAATCTAGTATAAAATTCAAGTAATTCAACTGTTTTTTATTTAGTTTACCAAAAAAAAAATCATAAATCATTCGTATTTTTGAATATATTTTTAATGGTACGAGTTTGCAGTGGTACGAGTTCTGTTTGGTACGACTTCCCAGTGGTACGAGTTTACGTTGGTACGAGTTAACTTTTTTGGTACGAGTTTACGTGGTACGAGTTTACAATGGTACGAGTTAACTTGCTTCCGGTTGAGAACACATGGTTTTGACATATAATTGGGTTTTCCTTTGCAAGAATTGGGTTTTTGAACGCTACAATCGTCAATTGCTTTGGGTTTTCAATTGTTTTAATTGGGTGATCACAAAAATACGCAGCTTATCTGGAGCTCTGATGTACGGATTGGCACATGAGATTTTTGAAAACATGTATACTAAAGGCACAACATAACTCATATGATATATGTTTGAAACTAACAATATTCAAAAATAATTGATCGGCACTGATTTTCGAATTTGTCCAAGACATTGCTAATATAAACCTTTGATATAAGTTTCATAAAAATCTGGCAAGAATTGTACAAATGAGAAGGCTAACGATGCAATTTTCCATATAATTAATGTTTCCAAGGGGCATAACTCTTTTAAAAATAATTGATCAGCACTGATTTTCGAACTCATCCAAGACACTGCTGATATAGACCTATGATGTAAGTTTCATAAAAATCTGGCAAGAATTGTACACATGAAAGTGCTAACAAGACCAGACAGACGGACGCAAGGACAGACGGTCAAATGGACAGACGGACCTCTAGTTTTTCTTCGTCCCCAATACGCGTTGCCCGGTGGACAATAAAAGAACAGAGTTCCAATGTCCCCCGTGTTGCACATATTTTATCTGGCCATTAGCAAAAACTAAAAATTTCTTTAAAATGTTTATCAGTATCTTAGAGAAATGAAATCTTCAGAGCAAATGCAATGCAATTTCAGATATATTTCATATTTCCAAGGGACATTACTCTTTTAAAAATATTTCGTCGGCATTGATCATGTTGATTTTTGAAATAGTCCAAATTTAAAACATTCATGACATTGCTGATATAAACATGATAAACCTTTGATATAAATTTGACAAAAATCTGGCAAAAATTGTACCTTAGTGAGAGCGCTTACAAATTACAATGCAATTTTCCATATAATCATGATCATCACTTTGACGTGAGAGCTCAAATATTACAAATTTTTGTACATGTTGTAATGTGATTTTATAGCAATTTGTAGTTTTCATCTCGGTTTGATTGGAAATCCATTAAATCAACCTGTCCTCTACTGTTGCACTCTTTGGGTAAAATGGGTTTCACAACTTCTTACTTTCCTAATCCTAGGTATTAGGTTATATCATGTATATGTAGGATTTAAGCTTAATGCTTAATTTTACTTATTGCTGCTAACATATAGCTTTACTCTGACTTCAATATTATAAATCATGTATAACCATGATAATGTACATCAGATTAGTTACAAATACTTACTGTGTTCTGTTCCATGAGTTTATACACTCCAATTTATTTTTAGCCTGTATTTGATCCCATAACTCTATTCCAAAAATTTCCTCACATGTTTCTACTTCTACAATATCACAATATCTAAAAGGCCAGTGAGCTGATGAAATTTTGGTAGAAGATACATTTGACCTGAAAAAAGGCAAAAATAATTCTTCTTTGATGTCGAAGGAATTCTTGCAAGTGCGAAAAAAAACGTTATTACATGTATTCATCACGTTTATAAAGAAACCAACTTTTTTTTTAAATTAAAAAAATAATACACATGATTAAAAACTGTCTACAGTTGTGTATAACATGCATACCCTCTACCAACTATATGTCTTGTGTTAAGTAAAAAACTGTGTATAAATCTTGGTCATGTAACACCTTTGTGTAATATTACTTTCAAAGTTCGCATTGAAACAGTCTTGCCGTTTAGTTTTGTCATGTTTGTTATATTTTTGTTATCTTATTTTTGGCACTGAAGTACACGGCACCTAAAAGTCCTGCAGTTGGCAGATTTTGGCTGGCTATCACTTACTTTTAAAAGCCCTGTAGAATAGGAATAACAGTTCTGTCAGTGGCGTAGCATGCCTTCTGTTTTTACCGAGGCAGAGGGTCTGGTGGCGCAGTAGTCCCCCAGAAGTTATCGAGGTTTTTACAAGAAGAATCATTTTAAAATAAATAATAGTTGTTGTTTAATTTTAAAAGGATTCTTCATAATAATGTTAATATGTCTAACACTAAGTTATACTACAGATTTATAAGGGGATTTCTGGTACCTGCATCATTTTCAATGTTCACATGAATACATAATTCAAAAGCCTTTATCACCTTTTCTAATTGAATCCTCTCAGTGAACTTCCCAGATTAAAAATTCTGAATACAGGAGTTGGATCTCTCAAGTTCAAAATAGTCCTGAGCCTATAGAAAGTTGTGTATTGTTTAAACCGATACTTTCTAATCTATGGTCATGATGGTCAACTCAAAGTTATAAAAATAACAAAACACGTGAAGATATCACATAAGACAACCACTGATAAGTCAGTTTCCTGTCAGTTTCCTGACTTACTAGCAGTAACTGAAAGCCAGCTCAAAAGTCTAATCTCTCAATATATTTCAAAGCCGTTGTACACTCTAATATAGGTGGCTGTACCTCACTGTGACATATGACGTTATAGCATATGCCACAGTGAGGTACAGCCACCTATATTAGAGTGTATCACGGCTTTGAAATATATTGGGAGATTAGGCTTTTGATAACGTCATATCAAAATAAATCATAACCTTGTTCGATGGACAGAGGAAACCTGTACAGAATTTTTAATACAGAAAAAACAAATGCAACGATTAAGGTTTATTTGAAATAATTTTTGCGATGATCATTTACACGCTTGGTCGTGGGTCACGAATAAGCGAATTATAGATAATCATCACAAAACGACGGATGGATTGAACAGCAGAATTTCCAGATAAAGTAGGAGATAAACATGATAAATACATGCTACGTGTAAAGCCCACCACAGCACTTGTTTTGGTTGTGTTTCGTCCTGGTATTACTTGGAAGATCTTAAATTATTAAATGGTTTTGAACTTTTTTCCATTCACGATGAAAGTGACAACCGTCAAAGTACTAACATTTACGTTATTCTGAAGACTTTGTGATGAATGAAAACAGTATTTGCTTGAAACTTTTATATATAAACTGACATTATGTGTTAACTAACAGACATAATAAATATTTCTCTGGAATTAGTGACTCCTTTAAATATCTTAAATTCCCAGCTAGTGAAAACTATAAATTTAAAATAGCTATAATAAAAGTTGAGAACCGCAAAGTTCAGATAAATTATTTTCTGATGCATACATTTTATTTTGATTGGAACCAAAGTCAATGACACTCTGTGTATTTGAAGTTTTACACGTTATAAATGGTGGTTTGAATGTTCAGAATGTGGTTTTCAAATAAAATTGAGAATGGAAATGGAGAATATGTCAAAGAGACAACAACCCGACCAAAGAGCAGACAACAGCCGAAGGCCACCAATGGGTCTTCAACGCAGCGAGAAAACCCCGCACCCGGAGTTGGTCCTCAGATGTCCCCTAAATAAAATGTGTACTAGTTCACTGAAAATGGATGTCACACTAAACTCCATAACATATAAATGAAATAAAATTTAAAAAAAACATACAAGACTAACAAAGGCCAGAGGCTCCTGACTTGTTAATTTACCCGATTCAATGGTAAAGTGATTCAATCGTATTCTACTGATTTTGCTTGCAATGGGGTAGGACTCAATAAATATGTTGTCGATTTTTGTTTTACTCAGACAAATTTAGATGACAGAAACTCCGGTAAAGGGGATTTCCAAGTAGAGGAGGGAAATGTTTCCATAAAGTCTTGAATTCGCAAGGGTATGAATCAATAACGACAACACGACAAAACAAGTTGGTATATTAGCGTTTAGTAGTTAGTTTGCTGCATTATGTGGAAAAAAGGTGGAAATCTTTAAAAAGATTATAAAGGAAAAATGTTTTGGTTTTGTTTTTTTGTCGAGCCTGCGACTTTTGTTGCAAAAGCGAGACATATAGCGATCCTACATTCCTTCAGCGGCAGCGGCGTCCACAAATATTCACTCTGTGGTTAAAGTTTTTCAACTTTATGATCATAAGATAGTATTCAAAAGTAAATTTTGTTAACAAAAATCCTGTTTATCCGTATTTTACTTATAAATGGACTTAGTTTTTCTGCCAGTTAACATTACATTCACTCTGTGGTTAAAGTTTTCAAAATTTTAATAACTTTCTTAAACTCTCCTGGATTTGTACATGTTGTACCAAACTTGGACAGAAGCTTGTTTATGATTAAAAGCTAGTATCTTACTTATAAATGGACTTTTTTTTCTTCCAGTTAACATTAATTACATACAGTCTGCAGTTAAAGTTTTTAAAACATTTATTAGACCATTCTGGATTCTTATCAAACTTGAACAGAAGCTTCTTACATTTAAAAGATAGTATCTAGTGGAAAATTTTTAATAATTATTTCCCCATTTTTGTTGAGCCTGCGACTAACAGCAAAAGTTGGAGAGACACTGGGTTTCGCGGAACCCTTACAAATTTTTTTTTTCTTCTGAGGCAACTGCCTCGGTTGCCTCAATGTAAGCTACGCCAATGACTGTAGTAGAAGAAGAGTTGCTGCCAATTGACCTTATTGCTATTTCATAATCTGTGACACTTGATCCCAGATTATAAGACACTTGAACTATTGACGTCATACAACAATCACAGTATTTATGTGTTAGACATTTTTTCTTACTACATGGACACATGATATCAGGTCTGTTCGCTCCCATTACATGATCGCATCCTACACATTCGCACCCAAAGGGTTCTCCCCCTGGGTTCGTTCGCACCCTATTCTAATTCAAATACAGATTGAATTCAAATTTTTTTTTAGATGGATATATAAAAATATTCATATTTTCATAAATACAAATTTGTGAATATTTTTTATAAATCCTTTGATTAGTTGATTATGAATTGTTTAAATCATTCAGCATGTTCAGTATGATATTGTTATAAATCTTGTTGTAACTAGCTTTGGTGCAAAGTAAAATATCTGTAGCTTGGTATGAATAAAAGCAATAACGATTTTAAATGAAATAACATTTTTTTAAACAGCTTGGCCCCTATGATCTCATGTATGTTTGGACATGTATGATATAAGATGGTTCAATAATTTTTAGGAGTTTGATAGCCGTTTGGTACATGTATCTTCTGCCTTTCTTTTACAAGTCTTATATGAATGAACTTGGCCTTTGATCATAACTACAATATTCATCATTGACATTCAATTTGTCAAAATGTTTCACAAGACGCTAAAGGAAACCTGTTAACGTTTTTAGGAATGTCACTTAATTTAAAAATTAATTACCTTTATTTTATAGCAATACACCATGTACACTAACTAAAACACTTTTAGAAAATTATTCAACACTTAAGCAATAAATATGATGCAAACATGAAAGGGGTGAACGTGATTGAGGGGGCGAACGTGATTTCGGTCAAACAGACCAGGATTCTGGTCACATCATAATTTTACGGGAAAGTTTGTGCATTGAATTTGACAGTCGCAAATATAAGTTTAACTTGGTTTTCTATGCGTCATCAGTAACACTGCATTTGTGACCGTCAACAATATTAAAACGGCAAAATTTTTAGTGCAAAATACAGTGTCGCAGACTGATGTTGTTATTTTTCATAGTAATTATTCGTTTCGCTTTGTTTTGTTTTTATTTTCCAATCTCCTTTTTTGTTTCTCACATAACAAGGAGCTTAACAATGAGATGTGTGAAGTATTTTACCAGTTTCTGTGTCCTCCTCGTTTGATTTGGTTTTCCATGGCCATCCACAAAAAAAAATCCAAGAGCATAAAGGTAAAGGGGACGGAAAGCTATGTTATTATGCTAGGAAGATGCTTCTCCTCTAAATAAATTCCTCCTTTTCGGCACACCTGTTTCTCAACTAAATTTGGACTCACTTAAATTTATATGTCTCTGCAAAAGATGTACTTATCATTTTCAATACGATTCCTTAATTTTGATTCGCCGAGGTATTCCAAAGTTCTATTTTATTCCAGTACGTATACTAACATTAAAGAGGGGCCTGATGGGGGGGGGGGGGGGGGGGGGTCTCATCACGATTCACGAGTTGATTTTTTTGTCAATCACGATTCACACAAAATACATTTCCATGATCACGGATCACGAAAATATAAAAAAAAAAAAAATCTGTAGAAAAACGGATCACGATAGCGAAAATGCGCCGATCACGAAGAACGAAAATAACCCATCAGGCCCCTCATTAAATGCAAGTTTCTTAAGAATAGGCGATTTCTGGAATCATGTCTTTCGTCAATTTCGCACGCCTTTATGACGTCATTTACCAGATAGAAGGCGCGCCTGTATCCCTGCTCTATTTTATAAAGTTTTAAGCACTTTCAGAATCTTCATTCTGCAGGGTACTAGATCTATACAAAATTTATGTTCCGTAAGTACGTAATCTTAATTCCCGTACGACTGAATGGAGGTAGTCCAAATAATTATGACGTCTTGAAAGGCTATTATATTTTTTTTCTTTGACGCCTTACATCGACGCAGGAAGGCGTCAAAGCAAAAATTTAAAATAGCCTTCCAAGACGTCATAATTATTTGGACTAGAATGGAGGGTGACCAACTTATTAGATTTTAATATCCCAAATATTTTGTGCAGTATCGTCGATGATTGCAAGTTCGTTATGCTTGCAATTTCGCGACATTTGGGGATTTCCAATTTATTCGTGACGTCATGAAACAGTATTTATCATTGGCAACGTGCTACTTCAAAAAAAGCTTAACCGGATATTTTTCATTGCATTTTCACTAATATCGGCTTGAAAAAGAGAAGTTTAGTATGTTCTTGCATAACATTTGTTTAAACGTCTATTTCCACTATTACTGTTTTATTCCTCTCATAGAATTTCGTTGAGTTCTTGGGAAAATCCTTTCAGCTAGCTCAGTCAGGATTCTACTTCGTCAAAATTATCTCCCCACCTAAATTTATAATCCTAAAAATGGAAGCCATTGTAGTGATGACGCGCTGCCAATTTAGCTCTTGAAAACCGATAAATATATCCACATAGCATCATTACGATTCTTATATGTCAGTTGTATTTTAAAACACAAATGTATCTACTAGTTATTTAGCATCATTTTATGCACTTTTATGCATTTTGGTCAACTTAAAACAATTGTCTGATCGGTTGTCAGGAGGAATTTTCGAAAGTTCAAAAATATTTAAAAAAAATTCTAATTTAATATTTCGTGGAAGGGCAGGCTAAACATTTTCAGAGGTTGAAGACTAATTACCCTAGATAACACACACAAAAAATGAAGTTTTTTTTTAACTTATGCATTATTTAGATTCACTTGAAAAGTCTGTCGTCAAGTACTTTTAGTGAAAATTTGTTATTCGAACACACCTACTCTGTTGTTATGACTCATTAGAAAGGTATTTCATTTGACCCATATATTTCATTTTTTAGCACTGTAAATTTTCAATGTTATTATATAAACCTAGAGCCAAAATATATAACAATAATATAATCTGAAGCGATGATGTATCAAATATTTTTCTTTTATACGTTTTCAAGACAGAATAGTCAACTCAAACACGCCTAAACATAAAAGGTGTACTCGATTTTCTCTTTTCGATGAAATTATTGGCCAAAAAACTGTCGCCGGTGGCAGAGATGCAAATTAATGCTTTAAAAAGATCAATTTATTATCTTTCTTTGGATTTTTTTTCGGTGCAATTTATGCTTATGCACGAAAAAGATCCACATGCATTTGCACCTACCACAATCGACTGTTTTGTGAAAATGTGTCTATAATTCAAAAGTTTACAAATATCTCGAAGCTCCATGCCCTGATTTAAGTAAAGTTACATACATAAGATTCATAAAATCCTAAATTAGGCACATTCATTAAACTTTTAAAGCCCATAGAAACAGATGTAAACATTTCAAATTTACCAACTTGGCCTTTTTTACCTTCTCTAACACAGAGTTCCATTTCTTTTATTTAATTTTAACTTGGTTTCCGCCTGAGCTATTTTATTGACATCTCAACAATGAGAAATCATCTATTTTAGGTTATGTAGCACTCTTTATCCTTTTTTAAGGCCAAGAGTATTATTTTTTAAAGTCTGTATGTGAGCGGATTTTTTATGATCCGAGAATGATTTGATATATTTTGATAAAACAAAATCTGCCAAATATTGGCTCGTAAAGTAATTTAATCCTATGCCATTGGATGCAAATTGAACGAAAAATTACTTTGATGCATTAATGACATTGTGACATCGTTATAAATATCTTAAACGTGTTTAAAGTGTTTATTATTATATTAATTCTGGATTTTACAAATTGAGCATTGAAAGTCGCGTGTAAAAATTAGAATAAATTTTGTATGGAGAATAAAAAAGTTAGTATTTCCCAATTTCTCTTTTTTTTCGAGATATTCATTTGTTATTTGATCTCAAATTTATTCTGTGATGTTTAAATACATAATACAATAGGCCTGACCTGTATATTGTTGCACATGCCCAAAAGCCACCGTCCAAGACAAAGGTCACGAACTTACACACGTGTTACAAGCATGTATACTTAAACGGAATCGGGTCACAATACGAAACATAGACAGATTGACCATGTTTCTGAAGCTTATCATCAATTAAGTGCATCAGACTGTTTGCAAATAAATAAAGAATATTTACATTCACAGTGGATAATATTTGCTCCAAGGTTGTGATTTTTTTCTTTCGTTTCGAACTTCCAACCATCGAGGATATAATATCAAACTTTTTCACCCGTTCGCTCAATATGTTTTAGAAGTGATGATGCCTACATTTTGGCCACGTGGTGATGGAAGTCACATGACAGATTCAACTAACTACCGTATCCCGGAACTGGCGTATCCTTACTTTTTGAATTAAAAGGGCCATAAATTCTAAATTTGGAGATAAAGAAGTAATACCAGATAGAATACAAACTGCCCGTAAAACAGTATATGCGTTGATGGGTTCAGGACTTTATGGCTTGAATGGGATTAATCCTATATGGTATCGGTTGACATGATAAAGTGCTTTGTCATACTAAGGCTACTATATGGCTTGGATGTTATTCGCTTAACCAAAACTGATATCGCTTAACTATCCACTTATTAAATTCAATTGCTAAAACAAATCCAGCACCTGCTAATTCTGCCGTTTTAATCCTAGCTGGTCAGTTACCTATTGATTCCGACATACACAAGAAAATGCTTACCCTATACCGGAACATTGCTGATAATCACGGATCTGTTGAACGCAGTATTGCTGAAAGACAGCTTGCTTTAAAAACAAGGGACTCCGAAAGTTGGTTTATTCAAATTTGAGAATTAACAGAACTGTATGACTTGCCATCCCCTATATTGACTGTCCCTCTGGTATCTTTCGTCCCTCTTCTATAGAAATATTGGATTGAGTTCCAGAAAAACACATAATTATGGAAAAAAAGGTATATAATGCAGTGAATGATTACTGGAAAAACAGCTTAATTCTTGAGGCTAGGACAAAAGTAACTATGTAATTGCTTAATTTTGAAACTTTAATGTTGGTGATGTCCACAATATTTGGAAGAGTAGTGGTTCAGAACTTTTATCTGTTAAAAGAGCAGGTGTAAAATCCAAAATGGTAAGTGGGACATATACTCTAAGAGCTGATCGTGCTAAATTTAATGCAATATTGTAGCATTGCAGTGTTTACGAATAAAATATAATGGAAACAGAACTAGTTCTTCATGTCCATTGTGTTTTAACTTCCTGAAGATCTCATGCACTTTATATTAAAATGTAAACCACTGGAAGGAGTTAGACTGAAATTCATAATACTACTAAGAATTTTACTGAGTGCTAAGATGAATTTGCCACTTGTGGAGGATTTATTTGATTTTGATGATAATATATTACAAATAATAGTGGACTGTAGTAAATTCCAAATCTTAAAACATTTATGGATAAATATTGAGCGCTTGACAAGTAGCTTATGTTTTGCTCATCAGAAGAGATCAAGTTTAATCCTTTAAAGACTGTCTAAATAGTATTTCCAGATAAAAGAGACATTTAGTGTAATAATGTTAAGAGTGTGGTATAGGCGATAATGACATTTACTGATTTGAGCAAGTTTTATATTTTAAAGTTTACTCTGCATATACTCTAATTATATATATAAGTATATGAATAAATAAGTCAGTAAAGTTGTTAAGCCGAATATGATAGGTGTAAACTTTGAGTAAATTTTAGATTTTAGTGTGCATTTTTCGGTTAGTCATAAGTATGATTAAGGAGAAAAAGACGTTTGCTGAGTCCAGCAAGTTTTAGATTTTAGTGTGTATTCTCCGTATACTCTAAGTATAAGAATAAATAAGATATTAATGTTGAGGTGAATATGACAGCTGTTCATTTTAAGCAAGTTTTAGATTTTAATGTGCATCTTTCGGTTAGTCATAAATTAAGTATGATAAAGGAGAAACAGACATTTGCTGAGTCGAGCAAGTTTTAGTTTTTATGTGTATTCCTCGGATATATTCTAACGATGAAGAAAGGAGTCACAACTGAGACAAATTTGAAAATGACAGTTGCTGAGTCGATCAATTTTTAGATTTTAAATATGACTGTGTATATACCAGTTTGAATATATATAATTAAGTGTGGTGGCGGTGTATATAAGTGTATAAAGAAGAAGTTCTACATTAAATGGAATTGCCAGAAATGCTGATTTCAAATTATAAGGGATACTACATTTCAATAAGGGATCCTACACTTCAAGAGGATTTCCCAACTGAAGTGGTTCATCTGATAAAGGTGGAATTTACAGAATAGGTAACAGGTAACAGGTAACTTTTGATTAACTGACAATAATAATCGAGAGGCAAACGAAAAATTTGATCAGAAATCGTTAATTCACGGTTGAAGCATAACCATGTAATTATAAGAATTGGGTGTTTCTTTTTGTAGTTTTACATGGTTGTAAAAGCGTTGATCGTGCTGGTATTAATAATATGTATAAAAATACAACTTGAAAACTTTTATTCGTAAACACTGCAATGCTACGATAGTGCATTCAATTTTTTATTTTATTTACAATAGTAGCTTCTACACATCCAGTATGTGCTTTTGGGAGCATGTTTCAGTCCGACGCAATTTTGGTGAAACCACGTACACTCTAACGTGAGGGTACCCAAATTGCACCTAATTTGACAGTTTTTACACCTACGTTTATTTATGACCCAGACAAAAGTTTCCATTCTGTGTTTATTTTGTAGATGTATCCTTATTTACTACTAGTATATAGTTCCACCAATTAATTTTGAATCCATATCAAATCATAGAAAAATGGGATTGAACCGACTTCCAAACGTTCCATGATTCTGTAATGAGGAGTCTCCAAATTGATGATTTGTTTTATTTCTTCAAATATTAAAAACAATTTGACAATAGTCTATGCTTACTATTCGTTTTTTTAAGAAATGGATGCCTGTAACATATTTTGATTGCTTCTTTTCAAAAGTTGATTTTTTTCAGTGAATACTTCATCTGTCGGTATATTAAAAATGTACTGTGGACGCTTTGTGTATATTTAAATATATTTAGCTATGTTGAAAGACGTGGCTTATGTCAAAACATAAAAATACAAATTATTTAGTCTCTAAGAGAACATTTAAGATTTCAACTGCTATTTATGCTAAATGGGGTACTTTGACGTTAGGCAGCCATCACAAAGAAGTGATGCAGCAAATTTATGTACACGTCGGATTTGCAGATTAAACAGTTCCATTCAACAATAATCCTTTTTTAAGTTATAGCAACTTTCAATGTCTGCCATAAGCTTTAGGTGAAAAATATTTTTTTATTCTTGAAATGTTTATATTTTCGTCCAAAATGTTTGTTGGAAACATGTGATGTTGTTTTATGTTGTCTTTAAATATCATTTCATTTCCGCCCATCACTGTTATTATTTGAAGAGGATAAAAGTCGTAAATTCCAAATAGTTCCAAATCTTCTGGTATAGAATGATGAATTGCATTGGTCTCTGTAAGGTCATTCTAGAGATGCAGGTGTTTGCCATTGGTAGGAAGGACTCTATGCATTCAGTAAATACAATTGAAGGTTCAATTTCGAAGCCTAGGAGACTCTGAGGTTTTTCATCATTTCCTGTGACATATCTGTTATTTTATAAAAGGAGGTGTCGTAATGTTTGCTATGTTGTGTGAGTCTTTCAATGTTACGATCTGTCTATAGTCATCACATAAATATCATCCTGCACCAAACGCTTGTTTGACTTCATCTGCAGTAATTTCTGAACATCCTTTTTTCACGTATATCGAAGGATTAAGCAACTTTTGGAATGCTTTGGCAAATCAAAATTAAGGAACCGTATTGAAAATGGATGACTTCAACTTTACCACTTAGAACCATTGGTGGTTCAATAGTTTCCTTGTTAAAAGCGACCCTTAATCAAGGAAATAATGATACGAAACGCAAGCACTGGAATATTGTATCAACTGGGAAATAAATACTCCACATACAGGAGCTGCTGCAATTTAGCTACATAAACATGGAAATTTCAGACTTGGGAAACTGAAATTATCCCTTTAGTCGTAAAGGTTTGTTCTCAACCGACCGAAAATGTCAATTTCTAGATGTAAGTCAAGATATAGGACAAACTTAATTGTATCTGTGGTATACTATATTTCAAGGTCGATGTGATAGATGCCTTCAATATAGTCACCAAGCTTTGATGTATTTAATAAGATGATGTCATCTATATAGTGGAACGTGATTTAAAAGAATAATGCTAGATTCTTTTCATTCCTTCTTAGAAGCTCCTGTATGCAGTGTGCCTTATGTGAATAAAAGAACAAGTCGACAAGCAAAGGGATAAAATGTGTTCCAATAGGAATGCTGCTTGTCTGTTGAAACCACGTCCTTCAGAGGTAACATATATGTTGTGAATAAAACAATCAATCATCTTGATGATGTCAGTTGTATGGATTTTTTTGTTTGGATCAGATTGGTTTCATACAATTTATGATTCATTCCTTTCTATAACAAGATATTTTTATCTCTGTTGACCATTCTCTTTAATGAAATAAATTTAGACAAATTCTTTCAATCTGTCTTTAAGTTTAGAATGTGGAATATTGGTGTAAATTGTAGAGAACAGTTTTGTATACTATACTGCCAGCTAGGGGAAAGAGACTTAGATTGTTTGTGATCTAACAAATTATTGGAATTCCACATATGATTTGCCACCCCATATAGTAGGTAGTTATTGCTGACTAAATTGATATCAACATCATGGAAATATGTTCTGTTTTGCACTTTGCAGACCAAGAAAGCTCAGGACTTCCTAAGTGAGAGTATATGTGGAGTTTTCTTTTCGGGGTCTTATTTTCCAACGAAACGATTGAGCATCCGAATTTCTAAACTTTTTATTAACAAATTAACTCTATTATTGAACCTCATTTCAGTTTGATATTCAAATCGTTTTTTTGTTATATGAATTGTATACCTGACCTTTTGCACGTACTTCTTGATGATCTGAACTTATCATAATGATTGGTGATGGGTACAGATCTATAAAGTAGGGAGGCATATTCGATGAACTGGTTTATGCGACTACCGTACAAGTGTGAAGTTTAGCTAGCTATAAAACCAGGTTTAAGCCGCCATTTTCTACATAAGGAAATGCGTGTACCAAGTCAGGAATATAACTGTTGTTTTGCATTCGTTTGATGTGTTTGAGCTTTTAAATTTGCCATTTGATAAGGGACTTTCCGTTATGAATTTTCCTTGGAGTTCGGTATTTTTTTTGTTATTTGACTTTTTTTCCATTCCCAATCTGTCTGAAACTATGTGCCATGTACAATATCTGTAAGTTTGTATTGGTTTAATAGCGGATTTGTAACAGTGGTTTCCAAACACAATTTCTACAGAGTATACCCAATAACATCTGTATAAATGACGGAAAATCATTGAAGGTAACAACATGAGGAGGAGAAGAGTTTAAATCTCTCTCTCTCTCTCTCTCTCTCTCTCTCTTTTGATTTGGTGTTAAAAAAAAGAAAAATATCACACTTCAATCAACAAAATTATAAAAATATCAACTAAAAGAACATAGGAAATGACTGTATTAAAATATTAAAACGTTATATTTACTGCCATACAATTCATCATCCAACAACAGGAGTAACTGGTATATGGATCCATGCTGTTGTCGAAGCTCCTAGTAATAACGAAAGAAGAAACTGCATAAACTAAATAATCAAAATCAGTTATGGCATTGCATTTATTCAAATTCACGATCTCAACACTAGAAATTGTTTTCATTTTCCAGAACTCATAAACCTTGTAATATCATTCAAATTTATATCAGTTCTACTAGACTAGGTAATCAACCAATATTCAAATTACCTTGTGTTGAATTGCATCAGTTTTATTGCAAATTTGTACAAATAGTAATTAGTATAGATCATTAGATGGCTATTTATCAATATATAATTAAAGTAATTCAATCTATGTTTTTTTTAATTGTATGTATCTATAATAATTGTGCAGTTTTTCAGCTGTACGCTTTACTAGTAGTTTGCTCGCAAAACTAAACATGTGTATTCTAATTAAGACATATGTTCCAAGGTAATTGACGTTGTTTGCTCTTGGGATCCTATCTAATCCGATAGAACAATGCATCAGTTTTTTCCTCGGCAGGCAAACGGACCATAATTTAACATTTAGTGAACTTTATGTCAAACAAAAAATTATTTAGAGGTCATCGTGGTCACTTTTAACTCTTGCTTATAGTTTTGAGGTTCATTTAATTTCCTATATTAAACATATAAAATTATTGTTTTTTATCTTCTTAAGGATGTTCGTTACACTTGCTTTTGACTTTTTGTCAGATATTCGGAATCCTCTAGTTTTATGCATGTAGTGTCAATACAAATTTTGCCCGCTAAACACTACTTTTCTTTTTATAATTTTATAACATATATAAAGCCATTTTTGAAAATCTTATAAAATCCTTGTTATTTTTTCATAATCTAAATCTTAAATGTATGAAAAGTCTAGTCAGATGGACTTCAAGTCTAAACCTCCTGATTGCACCTGTGCTAGTTCCCAATTCATATATAATCCGGCTGGCCACGTTAATACCGGAGACCTCAACATTGTCAATAACACTTCCCTGCGAAATTTGTTATCCAAAGGTCCGAAATATCGTGAGCCTAAGTCCATCAATTGGAAATAAAACTTCAAAATACTGATGGATTCAGTCGAGGATTATGCCAGGCAATGGGCTAAACGCGAGAAAGAAGACGAAGATACTCTTTCCGAATAGATCAAGGCTGTGAGGTCGTTGATACAAATCCGAATTAAGAAACTAAATGGGTTTATCAATACCCACGCTACTTCAATTTTTAAAGACCCAAATCTTGCAAAACACTTGTCCTACCTCTATGACAAATATGTTGTTGTCCCCGCAGATAAAGCCCCAAACAACATCGTGTTTGTGTGTAAATATCATTACATAAACTGCTTGATAAATGAATTAGGTATTGACAATTCATTTGGAAACTCAACATATACCCTCAGGACACTTACCAAAGAGGAAATCCTGGATAATCATAGGTCTGTTCTATGTTCCTTTGGAATTTCAACCAAAGATGAAGAACTGGATCTTCCATCACTGTATTGGATACCTAAACTACATAAGTGTCCTTACAAACAACGCTATATTGCTGGGTCTTCCAAGTGCTCCACGAAACCTCTTTCTAAATTATTAACATCTATTTTATCAGCAATCAAAGCCGGGCTCCAAAGTTATTGTGAAACTGCCTATTCTAGAGGTGGCGTGAATCAGATGTGGATACTAAAAAATGCCAAAGATCTATTAGAGTACATACAATCTAAGACTCTCTCATCTTGCAATAGTATAAAAACATTTGACTTTTCTACACTTTACACAAGCATTCCCCATTCCAAACAAAAAGACAAATTGAAAGAGTTGGTATTACTATGTTTCATTAAAATGAATGGGGAACGTAGAAACAAGTATCTTGTCTTGGGGAGGGATGAATCCTACTTTGTAAATAATCACTCTGATTCATACAAAAAATTCTCTGAAACTGACATTATCAAGATGCTTGATTTCTTGATTGACAACATATTTGTTACGTTTGAAGGACGTGTTTTTCAACAGACTGTCGGAATTCCAATGGGAACCAATTGTGCCCCTCTTCTTGCCGACTTGTTTCTTTATTATTATGAGGCTGACTTCATACAGGAACTTCTTAGGAAGAAAGATAAGAAGTTAGCAATATCATTTAACTTTACGTTCCGCTATATAGATGATGTTCTCTCATTAAATAATACAAAATTTGGTGACTATGTTGAACGAATCTATCTCATCGAACTAGAGATAAAGGATACTACAGATACAGTTAAGTCTGCCTCATATCTTGACTTACATCTAGAAATTGACAATGAGGGTCGGCTGAAAACAAAACTTTACGACAAAAGAGATGATTTCAGCTTCCCAATTGTGAACTTTCCATTTCTGTGTAGCAACATTCCAGCAGCGCCTGCATACGGAGTATATATCTCCCAATTGATACGATATTCCCGGGCTTGTATTTCCTATCATGATTTCCTTGATAGAGGATTGCTACTCATAAGGAAACTATTAAACCAAGATTTCCAAATGGTGAAGTTGAAATCATCCCTTCGTAAATTTTACGGACGCCATCACGAGTTGGTTGACCGTTATGGAATAACCGTTTCACAGATGATGGTGGGGTTCGTGTTGCTTAGTCTTTAGTTTTCTATGTTGTGTTATCTGTACTATTATTTGTCTGTTTGTCTTTTTATTTTTGGCCATGGCGTTGTCAGTTTGTTTTCGATCTATGAGTTTGACTGTCCCTCTGGTATCTTTCGTCCCTCTTTTTGAATCGTTTCCCGCCAAATTTTCAAATGATTATATCTCAAAAACAAGGACACGGACCTATCATTTTTTTCTGCTGTTTAAATATCGTTATTTATAAACTATCAATTTATGATGGTCTTTTAAAAAATAGTTATTTTCAAACAGAGGAGCAAACATCTTTAAACCTGAATTCCATAATATTGCACATAAAAATGATAAATGCACACTAATAAAAAATCAAAGTCGTTGCATATAAATTACCATACCTGCACAGCTACCACACGTTGCCTTGCAGTATTTTTTCAGCACAGGATCATTACATAGTGAGGGATCACAATTCACATGTGGGTCATCATTACAAGGTGGAGGGGTGGTTATATCTGATATAAATTGAATGTAAAGTCATGTAATTGACATAATACCGCCATATTGAACAATAAATAACATTTGATGTATGTAAAACTAAAAAAGACATACTTATATACAAGTACTTCGTTATTTTCTATTGCATTGTTAAAAAATGTATTGACGTCTACTTTACTTCTGACTAGAGTCTTTTGAATAACACAACTGAAGTCAATGGTCAAGAATGACTTTTATGAGGATTTGCGAGTATCTCATTTTTTGGCATTTTGCCTCTTTGCTTCGAAGTTTGGTGAACCTGTCATGATTGAGTTTACGACTTTCTGTGTCAAATACAACAACGAATATATGCAAGACAACACCAATTTGGACAATAACCGTTAGGAGTTGAATCAGAATCTAATTTTCTGGTGAAAGATTTTATAAGAAATTAGACTCTGATCCAATTCCTTAATTCAACAAAAAAGTCATTACAGACTTGAAAATCATGCGTGAACAGGGTCGTATAGATGAAGGCACATTTAAATACCTAAAACTTGAAAAATCAAAGCCAGGACGTTTTTATCTTCAGCCGAAAATACACAAAGCTAGGATTCCCGGTACACCAATAGTTTCTGTCAATGACCACAAATAGAGAAGCTATCAGAATTTATTGAATTTCATTTAAGATGTAGAAAATATACCATTTAACAAACAAGATACAATACACTATTCTTAGAGAAAATTGAATTTTAATGTTGAACCCTCTCCCAACTGAAACAACCCTTGTCTCGCTAAACGTTACCTTTCTCTTTATATTAACATCCCCCATAAGATGGTATTGAAGCCTGTAAGGAAGTATGGAACTCTCGCAGCACCTTACACCTACCAACGAAATGTTTAATCCAGCTTCTTACTTGGGTATTGAAATGCAAAAACTTCACATTCAATGGTGAACACTATCTCCAGGTTAGTTGAACATTAATGGGAACAAAGATGGCCTCATCCTATGGGAAATTCTCAATACTTCTCTTTGTCAACCTCTCTCTTGATTCCGATTCATCGACGATATTTACATGAAGAAGGATTATACTGAGCAAGAACTTGATGTGTTCATTCAACATGCCAACAAAGGCCATCCCTCAATAATATTCATTTATTAAATCTCTGCCTCTAAGATCACATTTCTTGACACTTCTACATCAGTGAAAGTTGGAATCATATTTACAGATCTGTATTGCAAGCCCACAGACAAACATCAATATCTTTCTCCTCTGCGTTATCATCAAAACCACTGCACCAAGAGCATTCCCTACAGTCAGACCATCATAAAAAACTCTACCAACGATAATGTGAAAAACCGATAACAAGAACTTCGCGGTCACCTAAAAATCGAGGCTACAGAAGAAAAACAGTGATATAGGTTTTGCTTGTTCTAACAACATCAGCTGAGATTAACTTTTACAATATAAAGAGAAAAAAGGTCAACAAAGAAGTCCCGTTGGTGCTGACTTACCATCCTACATATTTGACAAATTATCACACCCTATCCGCGAAAATTGCAAAGAAATCGAAAAACATCATAAGCTATCCAAGATTTTTCACGAGCCACCCGTACAGGCATTCTGTTGGCCCAAAAGCCTTAAATACTTGGTGGTAAGAGTTGATTTATCCTCTCGACCAGGCTCTTCGTCAGCGGGCTTTTGCAAGGTTTATGGGTGACTTGCAAGCACATACTTAATACCCAGACTTTGAACAACCACTCCATTGGTACCAAATACATCATATTTTGCAATGTTACTTGCAAGACTACAACTAATGTGTGTCTTCTACAATGAAAATGAGGTAAACAATATGTTGTTGAGTCAGAACAGCCCTTTTACAAACGCATGAACGTCCATCATAGTGACTATGGATGTCAGTCAGATATTTGAGATCCCCTGACCTCACTAAGGCAGATCTCAATCTATAACCATCATTTACCACAACACTATTTTGTCTATGGAGGAACGAATCACTCGGGAACTTTCGTCAACTTTGAAATTTTAGAATCACAAAAGCTCAAATCGCACAGTGCTATTTATTTTGGATGCATATGTACGCAGTCTCTGTTATGAATACTTGACCTGCTTCAACTTTGAAATTTTAGTATATATACAAGTTCAAATCGGACAGTACTATTCCTTTTGGATGCATAAGTGTGCAGCTTCTGGTGTAATAAATTAACCTCGAGTTCGTTAACTTTGAATTTTGGATTCTGTACTACACAGTCTTTGTTGTAACAACTTAACCTTCGTGAACTTTGAAATTGTCCTATTATACATGCATGTACAAGCATGGTTCGGTTTTTAATTTGTATCACGTTCAAAATTGTTCAAGATTGTTTAAGTAAAATCAAAATAGATTGAAATATTTGTTGATACTTGTATTTACTGATTCCTTTTTGTAATATTGGTGTTGTTTTGTACACGTTTTAGGTGTATATATATACATGTATAGATATGTTCCGTAAACATCAGTATTGGTGGCACAATGAGCTTTTGTATTTATAAAAACCGAACATTAATTTTTAATGTGAAAATACTTACTACAAAGATTACACGTAACCGGACACTTTAATGTGAAAATACTTACTACAAAGATTACACGTAACCGGGCACTTTAATGTGATAAAACTTACTACAAAGATTACACGTAACCGGACACTTTAATGTGAAAATACTTACTACAAAGATCACACGTAACCTGGCACTTTAATGTAAAAATACTTACTACAAAGATTACACGTAACCGGACAAAACCTTTTTAAGTCAGTATTGCATGAAGATTTATCGCAGGTAATACGACTATCATCTACACAGGAGTGTACACCGTTTGTTGTTAAAGTTGTTGGAACTGTCGTTGTCGTAGGAGCTGCCGTTGTCGTAGGAGCTGTCGTTGTCGTGGGAGCTGCCGTTGTTGTTGATGCTTAAATATACATGGTTAATAAATACCCTTACATCTCATATACATTCATTTTCACAAAAGATGTCTTATTTTTCTTTTTTAAATGAGCCTACTGTCAATAGAAAAAAATATCAGATTATGACACCATATATACGATTGTTGTTTAGGAATAAATGCGAATTCTATTCCCATCAGTGTCACCGGTCATATTAGAAATCTGGTTCATATACGCGTTTAAAGATAAAAAGTCTGTCACTGTTAGATATGAACTTGTTGTTCGGTGGTGAGGTTCTTTCGAGTACAGATGGTATAGTCATTTGTCAACCTAAAGTCTTTAGAACTGGTACTTGCTACTTCTCTGGAATGTAAAAGACTACACCTGTATGAAATATTTCACACAGAGTGTACACGGAATATAGTAGGAATGTTGCATTGAATTCCTACCAGAAAAGAGTTATATTCTAGTCAGACAGTAATAGGAGTCCACACAGAAAATAGCCGAAAAATTTAAATTAACAGAAATTTCTTAGTAGGAATATTGTATAGTCCTACATGGAATATTCAAATAAGCAGAAATAATTTGGCGAGAAAATAAAATTCCTACTAGAAAACCTGGTAAGAATTTTTCAAAATTCCACCTAGAAAACAATATTTTCTAGTAGGATTCTAAAAATATACAAAATGTAAGTGTATATTCACAAATACACAACTGGGTCAATCATTTAAGTTTGAATCTCAACAACAAAGAACAAAGGAAATGCATGGAATATATTCATTTAAAAAAGTTGACTTTTGAAATGTATGATGAAACTGATATATTCAAGCTAGAAATTGTGTTATATATGTAGATGGGCAAAAATGTTGATTAGATGAAATTGAAGAGGTATGAACAAATAATGTGTAAAATTATGCACTAATAATTAAGTGATTACTAAATATATTGGCAAACAGATCAAAAATTTCATCTTAAAGTATAAAAATTACCTTCAATCTACATGAGCCATATTTTCTCATATTTCAATATTGTAGTTGTTTGACTCTTGCAGCATTGTGTTCCAACACAACTTTTCATTCTTTTACCCTCCAACTTTTGAATTTATGAACTGGAACTTCGTTGCATTTAACACAGCAAAACTTGTGTTATTAGCAAACAGGAATCCAGTTTAAGATAATTAAAACATGTAGAAAGATTTTCTTGTAGGAATATATTAATTTTGGTAGGAATTCTGTAGTGGGAAAATGAATAATCTAATCATATTTTCTGTCCAAATTCCCACTTAAGATTTTCAAATAGAAAATAATCCATACAGACTTTTAAAATTCCTGCTAGATGGTAGGAGTTTGCTAGTGAAAAGATAAAAAATCCAGTCAGAATTTTGTTCAATTTTTTTTCTGTCCGTCTACTTTCTATACAGAATCTTTGATTCTAGGTAGATTCCTACTACATTCCTTCTAGTTTCTAGGTGGATTCCCACTACTTATTTCGTACGGGCGGAACTCCCCAAGTAGATCTAACAGTAGAATTAGGGAAGCGAAATCTGTCGAGCTTTGACGATTGGACTCGTAGTAAGAGTTTCATTAAAAAAATTAAAGATAACATTTTTTTTCTGTTAGACATTTAACGATACGATTTGACGAATGATAAATAGAATTTTCATGCTTATTTGACACTAACGAAAGCAAAAAGGGTGTGTCAAATCAGCCTGAAAATATTCTACGAGGACGGAAAGCATTTATTCACTGTCGCCAACCAACAACAATATTCATAAGATGATATTTTGATATCTGTTGAATATGTAAATACATGTTAAGATCAATTTCTTATTAACCTGTTTTTTTTCTTTCCTTTTTTTATTGTCCCTAATTTCTATCTATCTTAAATGTTAGATTTAAGCCAGATTAGATTTTCGCAATTTGGTCTTTATTGCGAAATTAACAAAATAAAGCTCTCGCAAAAATTTTCCAAGTTACAGTAAATTGACACAGACACCAGGAAACCATACACATTTGGCTTTCAAAACTTTTGGTCACTTGAATCACGTGATGTACGCTCGGAAGTCTATCATCTATTAAACATCGTCTCAACTTCTTCATTCATTAATGCAGTATCAATATTGAAAGACGAATACGTTATGATGATACAAAAACCTCGAAAGGCTTTAATTTGATTAAAATCATAGCTGCTGTTGAAACATAGTTATTCTATCTTTCATGCTTTAACGTATATGCATACTTCAAACTTACATCCTTTATGTATGTCCACGGTAATGTTTTAAGTGCAAACCAATTAAAATCTTTGAGGATAAGACTGACTTGGCCTTAGACATTTTTAACCTTACATAATAGATCTGTAGATCAATCTTCGTTTACGTACTTCATTTGTTGAGCACACAATTAGTATACTTTATGCCAAAGCTGTTTCGGTAACGGTTAACAAATATCTTGAAACTATATCATGTATATAAAATAATGAATCAGAACTTGTACGGCACCGACCATTCATTTTTTTTTTGCGGGAAGAGGGGGCAGATATCTGGAAATACATTGTGTTTTTTCGGCCAATAAAAAAAATAGTTCAGTCAAATTCAGCTAGGTGCAAGAACTTTGTTTTAGCTTGATGTTGCATTTTTCTTTTTATCCAAGTGTCAATGGAAATTTTCATTTCTGTCTGAAAAAAATTATTAATTTGTAATTGAATCTAGAGTAAAACAATTTAATCAAAAAAAAAGAAATACACTCACACAAAAGATGAATGGTCGGTGCATAATTGAATATCTAAATATTCTTAGTAACTTAAAACTGGACACTCTAAATTCGATTAAGTTGAAAAATCAGTATTTTTCATATAATGTCTACTAATTCACATGAACATTTGAACTGCAGTTATATACATTTTTGGCTATAGTTTTTTGTCCTTTTTAATTCATCAGCTTTTTGTATTTCAAATATGTTGGTCTCGAGCATAACTGGAGAGCCATTTATTGTCGAAATGCGCATCTGGTGCAGTAAAATTGGTACTGTTTTTATTCTTATCTTATTGATAATTACAATGGCAGAAAAAAGCACCATGGAGCCAATTATTCTATCGCAATTTACATGAATTAGATCTTACCACTACAAAAAACGCTGACATCTTGTTCATGGAAACAATCATTTTTACCAACCATGCTCATTTTACATTTTAATATATTGTCTTCTGTTCCAGTACAATGGACATCATCGAGGAGTATTGATACGTTGTATCCCAAAACATTTCGGGTCTTACCGTGATGTGCATTTTGGCTGAAAGATAATAAAAGATATAGATACAAGTTGCTTTTTTAAAAAAAAAGTCAATACGTGAACCTTAGAACTTTTTTATGCTAATTATTATTTCAATTGAATTGTAAATTATATCTCAGTATTTTCATTACCATGTGTGCGGAGGATAATATTTTCTTTTTATTGTAAATCAGGACAATTATGGCATGTTGAGAGTTGTGTTAAATATAAAGTAGGGAGATAAGGAAATTCAATGTTTTAATTTCAATAGTTCATTTCTGGATGGTGTAAGCTTTCATTTTTACCAGTGTGAAAGGTCAAACTACTACCAATGGATGACACTTCTAGGGTGTTTATTGGTAGAGGTAATATTTCAACTAGAATCCCTCAGTAATTTTATATATTTTTCTTTTTAAAATACATATTTCAGAGCAAGTACGATATTTTGTTTCATAAAATTTGAAAGTTTTATTCCTACCAAATAAGACAAAATCTACTTGCTTACCATTTTATTTTGTGCCGTAAAATCCCGTTCCACCTTAGAAATGAGTTTGGATCCAGCTAATACATTCAATTTGCTGCTTATACATGTATGCTTTATATACCTGTCCAAATCCGGAGCCTGTTTTTTTTTTGTTTCCTTATTATCGTGTCTGTTTTTCGTTTTTTTTTTTGTATGAAAATATTGCCATTAATTTATATCTTGTACAACATTGGTCAATTTGATGTCATTTAGCTCGCTTTGCTAAGACTCAACATTCATCACAATGTTTATTGAAAAGTTCTCTCATTGGCAAGCATAGTTTACCAAATATTATATAATCATATCAGTCACAGGAAAATTCGATTCTTATGAAATGCGGTTCCTTAAATCAACATACGTAATAAATCTCAAAACTTTACAGTTTTTTGCTAACTGATCTTTCTTGTCTATGATTCAGAAATTTAACAGTGTTTTGTGATTTTTTGCTTAAAGTTAACTTTTTAAGCATGGGTCCCTTTTCAAAAGTCTCCCAACTACTACCTCATATGTGAACTTAAGTATAGTGGAAATTTTGTTCGCTATGTTAAAGAAATCTTCTACTTGCTCTATTTTGCATGTGAAGACCATACAACCGTCATCTCTATATTGACAGTGTAATTTGATGTTTTCTTTCCATTTGAACTTATCTAAGATATTTATTAATAGGACAGACAGATGCAGATATGTGCATGATGGTGAAAATATACCACCTATGGAGGGTGCGCTCATATAACTTGTTTGTATAACTTTCCATTAAACTCAAATTTATTGTTTCTTAGAATTAATTAAACAGATACAGTTTAATCTTTTTGTTGAGAATTTTTAAAGGATATTCTTTTGTGTCAATTAATTCTTCTGCATTGATAACTGTTTCTTTTAAATTATCAATGATCATATTTGTGTACATTTACGTTTCATCATAGGCAATAAGAATGCATTCCCTTTTTACCTCGTGTGTTTTATTAATGAAATCTTTTGTATCTTGAACTTAAAAGTTGTGCCTCTACAAAAATGGTTTTATATTAGATCTTTTAATCTCTCAATGCGTTTCGTGGTCGAGTTACACTTATTGATGATCAGTTGTAAGGAACATTAATTAATGTCTCCTACTAGTTGACCATTACTCATTAATTATTTCTAGATTAATTTAATGAATTTTTGAAATACTGAGGTACATGTGTCCATGTTTTGAATCATTATTATTCTTTAAGAATTATACGTATGGGAATCTATTTCTATTTTTTTCTATATAGATTATCAACTATATCTTTTATTACCATATAGCATATAAGTGAGGTTAAGCGATCTGTGTAAAGTTCTTTATTGCCAAAATTTAGATATCTTAAATGATCCGTATGGAGGTGCTCTTAATTGCAGGAAGCTAATACAGATAAGAAATATAAATCTTCCGAATGAACAATAATTAGGGTTCCGAATATTCCTCCATAGACTATATTTCTAACTAATTAATATGCGTGAACCCTCAGGGGTTCTCGCAATAAGTAATTAAAATATAATTAATCAAATATTTTAAAGATTTGTGATTCGTTAAAACTTGATCACAGTCATATACATTTGTATTTACACTGTTTGCACGCCAATACTGTTGTGTTTAGCTTTTCGTAGGTCAAAACAGCATATTGTACAGGGCATGCATACAGCATGTTACTAAAAATACATTCTAGAAATTCCCAATTTTTCATTGTTCATGTACTAGTTGCTGATTAATAATATAACAATTGTAGCCTTTGGTTGAGGTCAATACGATGTTATATCGACCCAGAGAAGCATATCGACTTCAAACTTCGTCCTCAGTTAATATGTTTCTCTTAGGTCGATATAACCTCGTATCGACCTTATACAAAGGCTATAAGTACCGATTATCAGGTTGTGTGCATATTGATATCGTAAAATATCAGCTGCGAGTCACAATATGAAGCTTTTTTGTCGAGTGAGCGCAGCGAACGAGATCAAAAAGGCTTCATATTGTGTCGAGCAGCTGATATTTTACAATATAAATATGCAGACAACCAGATAATCGATTTATCGGGTTGTATTTGCGTATTTTGCATGATAGAAACGTGTGTTTTCTTTGTTTCACCAGCTAACCGGAAGATAACGTGATTAGTTCGGGTCAATCTTATCAACGTCGGTTCATATATTATGACGTCGGTGATATGTCCGGGTCAAAGTTATTAAGGCCGGGTCAACGTATTTGACTTCACAAAGCCGTGATATGCAATTTTATTAAAAGCTGAGCAGAGTGATACAGACAGAGGGACGACCGATAATTGTATAATTTTGTCCCGAGAGAGTATTGTATTGCACTAGCTTATGTGTGTAGTTAATAGTTTACGAAAGATAACAAAGTGTCGCTTTGGTCCATTTACTTTTTTGAACTGACCGCACACATGACATGCTTCACTTATGGTCCCCGTCATTTTGCTCGTTGTAAGTTCAAAAAGGTCTTATTCGGTGATGTCGCAATCTTGGAAATGCAAATGGGATTGTGTCTCCGAAAATAAGAACATATCCTTGGTAATCTGTGACACAGATATCCCATAAAGGTCAACACAAGTTAGGACGGTACACAAAAGATGACTTAAACTGGAATTCATAAAGACGATTTATATATTTTACTTATTTTGAATATGTAGCCCCTTTTTGTTTGTGTTTTTACACCTTTAAGGTGTATATCTATATTACCTATTAAACATATCTTAAGTTCTATTTGTGTGCAGTGGCGGATCTATGATGTTTTATAAGGGACGTAATTCTCGATAATTGAATATATCCTGCCGAGCGGAACGGCTTGGACAATTTTATAGTAAAAATTTATAGATATCATGAAAAACTTGAGATTTTTCTTTATTGGCGATCAAAGACCAACCCCTTTTGGACCCGCCACTGATGTGTGTTGTTGCACAATAAAAGTGTAGATATACGACTGGTCTGTTGAGACACTTTTAGATTTAGGGGTCTTGACATTTTGGCATAGAAACATTTTCGTTCATAACGTACATGTAGCTATTAAAGATTGTTTCAGAAAGTCATGCGTTAATTTATATAAACGTACAATGGAAGTCCAAGTTGTCTGCACACAACTTTAGCTGCGTTATCGTCGAAGAAATCGTTACATACAGTTCCAGTTTTACCATTTATTGTGACGTGAAGTCTACCATGGTCCTTATTCTCCAATTGTAAACCGATTCCATCTTGAAAGAAGGCATTTGATAAATTTATATTAAAGCATTAGATATATAGAACTTTCCTAGTGGAGCAGAATCTGCTTATCCTCCTGGAGCACCTGATATATCCCCGGTTTTTGTTGGGGTTCGTGTTGCTTAGTCTTTAGTGGGTTTTTTTTATTTGGTACTGAAGATTTAGTATAACTGCCAATGAGACAAGTCTCAATCAGAGACCAATTGACACAGAAGTTAACAACTATAGGTTTGTTTTTGACTTGTGAGTTTGAATGGTATCTTTCGCCTCTCTGTTATATGTGTTTCGTATCTTCATCGCCTGGACAGTACGATACCATATCGTAATATAATACATATCTTTATCGCCTGGACAGCACGATACCACATCGTAATATAATACGTATCTTCATCGCCTGGACAGCACGATACCATATCGTAATATAATACGTATCTTCATCGCCTGGACAGTACGATACCATATCGTAATATAATACATATCTTTATCGCCTGGACAGTACGATACCATATCGTAATATAATACGTATCTTCATCGCCTGGACAGTACGATACCATATCGTAATATAATACATATCTTTATCGCCTGGACAGTACGATACCATATCGTAATATAATACATATCTTTATCGCCTGGACAGTACGATACCATATCGTAATATAATACGTATCTTCATCGCCTGGACAGTACGATACCATATCGTAATATAATACATATCTTTATCGCCTGGACAGTACGATACCATATCGTAATATAATACATATCTTTATCGCCTGGACAGTACGATACCATATCGTAATATAATACATATCTTTATCGCCTGGACAGTACGATACCATATCGTAATATAATACATATCTCAGAATTTGTGCAATGATATTGGTACACATAAATATAATAACTGTTACGTATTACACGTAAGAGAAAATATAAATACAAACACTAAGGTAACTATTCAGGTTTGCACAAACATATTGTTGGTACAAATAAACTCATCATAGATACCACGATTGAAAATTTGTATTTGCGCCAGACGCGCGTTTCGTCTACAAAAGACTCATCAGTGATGCTCGAATCATATTCATGTATTTATCTTCATTTATTATATACTTAGTAGTTAATACAGATACATTGTATGTGTAATACAATCATTGGCAAGTGTGCTGAATCAGCCACCCGTGATGATATCGATATCAGCACGGTTGCAAAGGCTTTATCACACCTTTAATCTGTATGACGTCACGTCATCGATTGCAGTCACTGTTGCAAAGTCTTTTTCAAACCCCTAATCTGTATGACGTCATGTCAAACCTGTAATCTGTATGACGTCATTTCAAACCTCCTTATCTGTATGACGTCATGTCACATAAAAAATTCTACGTGAGGTTTATGTATATAATAAAGTGTATATGGCATGGCTTTTTCAATATCACACACCGTATCAACCCTCAACCAATATAATCCCTCGAGCAGAGCTCTTGGAATGATATTGGTGTCTCGAGTTGGTACGGATGTGATATTGAAAAAGCCATATGATATTCTCTATATATTCACCAAATTAAGTTACGGCACTGTGAAATTCCCTTTAAGTTACAATTGCTGTAAAATAGATATTGTAAAGAAGGACTACAATGTGTTTCGTTTAGGGTTAATAACCATGCTTCACAAGACAAAATAAAAAGAAATTTTGAGAAATGATTAAGAGAACACACTGAATCAATGAGACAGCTATTCACCTAAGACAAATGTTACAAATCAAGTCATTATATTGTTATCCAATAACAATCAAAACCAACATCGTATAGTAAGCTACATGTATAAGGCGTTGGTTACAGACAGTCATTTGCCTTCGACATTGACACATCCATTAGAAAGGAGAGAACCAGGGTTTTAGTGCTCACCACATGATTTGAGCATTAACCCTGACGTAATCAATTCAACTTTCGAATTTCTAAATTTTTTAAGACAATGAAGTAGTGAACGAAATTTATGTTCATACATTTATTTTAGAAAAATTGCATAATATTTGAAAATGAGAATTAAAAAGAATGATCTAGTGTTGCGTTGTTAAGGTCCGTCAGTATATAAAAGTCTCATGGACAATTGAAAACAAAACAAATACATGTTTTAGGCTAATTAGATATAAAAAGTATATTGACAGACGGAAATTAACGACAACCTTTGAACTATAGGCAACTGGCTTGGGGGCAGGAACATTAAGTGTATGGTGTGGTTATAGATTTTTGTGAACGCTCAATTTTTGCCTAATCTAGGAAAATGGTGTAACAGCGAACAATATTTTTTTTCTAAAAAGAGCTTGATTGACAAGATCGATACCAAGCACAGTTCATTGCTCTGAACATCAACGATAAATATATTTGTTTGGAATTTAACTACATTATAATCGATCATAAATATAACACGAGTTGTACCAAATTGATGATAAATCAGAGTCATAAGTAGTTTATAGGTGTTCCAATTTCGTAAATCATTTAAGAATAAAAATTGGGGGCAAATAACGAAAACTGACGGAATCACAGGAACTCCAAAAGGATGAAGACCATTCCGTACTTTTCTTCAATTCTCCGTATACTTAGAAAACTCCCTCTGGTACAGTTGACCGTGGGTGGATTTAAATATTCTTTCTATGTACCTCTTAGTCATATAATTCTTCACGCATTCAAGTTAGCTTGGCTTTCAAACTTTCAGGTTTGAACGTTTCTTGATGAAGGTATTTGTAAATCCCAAAAGGTGCCTTAGATGTTAGAAAGAATTATATAATTTTTCATTCGAGTACGCTTTTTACTTACAATTCTTTTCTAGATATTCCAAATATGATTTGGTTTATCTTTAGTTTATGTTTCCTACAAAATATGTCGGATCAACAAATACAATATGTAGGTCTATATACACGTCTTAAAAACTTGCAAAATAATGCTTTTTAACTACATGGGATACATACTTGAGGCACAAATAACACCAACGTCTTCCGTGTGTAAACAATCAACGAAATCTCTGTGTTTACAACTACTTAAAGTTGTTTCATTTCCAGTACATCCTAATTCGTTATAATGAATTGTTCCAGTGCCTGGTCCAAATATATGTTCGAGAGTAGGAACAGCTATTCCACTTAACAAAATAGAGATGGTAATATTATCAGATTATTATATCGGTTCTACAGTGATTTCCCAGTAAAATAAAAACCATCATTGATTTCGCATGTGAAACAAATCCTTTGATTTCACTCCCCTGACGTCAAACAACAATATCTGTTGTCAATTGTGTTTGCTATTACGCGTAGAGAAAGGTATAATAATTCAGTGCATTTTATACTTTATTTACATTAAAAGTCAATGAAATATAACAAATTATTGCATTGATCTGTCACTCGTTGAATATTTTTCAATATTTGAATTTTTGGATTACTAGTATATTATTAGTCTATAAATATATATGCATGTTTTGTCCGCTATATTGGTAGCTTAAAACAATATAATCTCATAAGCTGAAATTATCTGTCACATTTATTCTACTTGGAATGAAACAAATCTTTCCAATCAGCATGACGTCTTTACACTAAATCCATTGGATGTTGGATGTGAACTGATTGATATTTTAATCTTAGATGCATGATTTTTTTGATTTTTTGTTAATGGCTTTGAACTAGCTGTCAGTAATTGCGAGTAGTCTAACATGTCTAAGATCGGTACTTAGTGTATTTTTGTTGTGGGCATGTATGAGTTCCCTGCCACGTCTACTCTGTGTTTTTGTTAGATGTATTTCTGGTTTGTATCGATCTGATGAGTTAAGCCCTTTACAAATGATTTTTATAGTTTGTTCTTATGTTGATCTGATACACCACTCTCCCAGGGGGGCGGGGGGAGGTTGGCGCGCCTTCAAACTAGTTTAACCCCGCCACATTCTGTATGTGCCTGTCCCAAGTTAGGAGCCTTTAATTCAGTGCATGGTTGTCGTTTGTTGCTGTATATCATATTTGTTTTTCGTTCATTATTTTGTACATAAATCAGGCCGTTACTTTTCTCGTTTGAATTGTTTTACATTTGTCATTTCGAGGCCTTTTATAGCTGACTATGTGGTATGGGTTTTATTAAATGTTGAAGGCCGTACATTGGTTTCTTGTGGAGAGTTGTCTCATTGGCAATCATATCACATCTTCTTATTTTTATATATGTAACTTTGATGCACAAAACCACTTTTTAAACGATTTAAGACATCAAACATCCATGTTAAGAATGAACCTGATTATTGCATATCATTATAATCAGTGACATTCAATCGGCAAACCTTTGGTGACTCCGCTTCTCTCCATCTTATGGAGTTACGGAATCGGCCGAGTTGTGACGAACATATAATCATTGTCAACACTGGTCAAAAAGCTTTTATTCAGAAACCCTTTAGATGTTTCAATGTTTTTTTAAATTTATATATTTGTATGACATCATGTGTTTTGTTTACAAAAAATCGAGGGTTTTCCGTTATTGAAATAAAGACTTTATTAATTTCTTGCGTCTGAGGCGCTTTTCTGGATTTACCTCCATTAGGAACGCTCGAACCTTTTAAATATTTAATGGCCAGTAATGCGTAAATGCGTTGAAAAAATGGGAGCTATATGATTGAAAAGGACCTAAACTGAATTGCCAAATTCACCTAAGGTAAACTTTCCCTAAGAAAGTTGGAACCTTAGTTTCTTACTTATTTCTTAATTTATGACCGGGGAATTTTTAATAAGTATATGTTATCAATCACGTCAGTACCGAAGTCAGTACAAAAGTACTGATCACTGAGCTGATGATATCCTTCGGGACTAACAGCCCACCAGCAGCGGTTAGACCATCCTCGGTTTCTATCAGGGTTCGTGTTTCTCATTTCATTAGATTCTATGCAGTGTTTTTTAGACTGTTGGTTGTCTTTCTGTCGTTTTTTGCAAAGGTATTGTCGAGTTTTCTACGACTTATCATGTGTCATTGTCCATTTGGTATCTTCTGTGTCTTTATCATTTTTATGTAAG